ACAGTTGGAGTCTGGCCTGATTTGTTTGCATAATAATCCGAAAGCGTTTCGTCATTGTCGTCATCATCATCATCTGAATGCTGTCAATATTCCGCTCATCATGCGCCCCATCATTATGGCCAGGATTTGGCCAAAAAAACGAGCCAAGTCTAAAGAAGGGGCGGTACTTTTGGGGCTGGGAAAGAAGCAAAACATATTATTCAATATTTAAAAGTACGCCTTCCTTCCTGCGGAACTCTCTTCCGCTCGAATTGATCGATGACGCTGTGCTCCGGCTGATTTTCTCTAAGGGATTGGGGAGAGTTCCATCCCCCGAGATGCTGTCATAGCTCTGCGGGCCCTTTGGCCTCACCTCGCCAAGCCGCCACTTGGCATGATAAATTTAATTCCGCTTCTATTTTGATGGCACTTGTCAATTCAAATACTTTTGTCAGTCTCTCTTCGCTTTATATATATATATTTGTATATATTTTTCCCCTTGTTTTTGTTTTCGCAGAAGAGCTGAAGAGCCCTTCAGCAGCAGCCACGCCTCCTGCGCCCACCGCATTGTGCGCAAATGCTGCGAAAAGTTGAAGGATTTTGACGCATTAGAGTGCTCCCCCAGGAGCGAAGGATAACCGTTGGACGGAGGCAGTGGGTGGTGGACACCTGCAAGCAAATGAGTGCATTTGTTGTAGTTCATCTCAATGGATGACGAGGTGTCAAGGAGCTCTGGGAGATGACTCCAATTACCCACCACAGCTTCTCGTGCCGCTCCGCGAGTCTTCCAGCCGAAAAATTGTGTAAGGTTTTCAATTTATTTCGACAAAGATAAAGAAGCAGCTGTTAAGGAAAGGAAAATCTTAAAATGTATAAGTGTAAATTAATAAAATAAAGAATAAATTTATAGTTAGTGTCAAACTAAAGAAATACAATAAGTTTAGGTTGTAGAAAGTACAATGTACATAAGTCGTTTTGCTATTATCTAGGCTTAAACAATAGAATTTAAGGGAAGACTTTAGCATACTTTTAGGAGGCAACTACATTTTAAAGTTGTGCAGTAAAATTATAAAAGTATATTTAATTCATACGCTAATCTTATAAAAAAAATTAAATTTTAAATAAGAATAATTATATATTTGCTTACTTTAGCCAGAGAAACTTAACTGCATTAATAATGTCTTTTGTGGGAACTTGAACCCTTTTATATAAGTTTAAAATATGAAATTATTTCATTATTTCTAAGAGTAAAGAGTTAAAACCTATTTGAAATTGATTTATTTTAATATTAAAACTGCATTTTAAGACCAAACTCTTGAAGCTATTTATATTTTTTACATATTAATTCTTTCTAAATTATATAATAATTGTTTTTTTAAGATTTCTAAAATTGTTTACCCATAAAAATCAATAAACTATACAGCTTATGTCCATATCTTCTATCCACATTATCAATAATACTCCCCTTCCGTATATATCAACCTTCCCAATTCTGGCTCCATTGTGTCCGACATTAACCACTAATGAAACATGGACAAGAAAGCTATCCCCGAGCTGTGTTTTCGACCCTGGCAATCCCACTCCTGTTAAAGCACTTAACTTTCCTTGTAATCAGCCAGCATGGACACAAGCGAGAGGGACATCCAATGTCCGTCCATACTCCCAGCTTCAATTTAAAGTTTTTCCCCGAACGAATCGTACTTTCTCTCATGGGAGTTGTCGCCCTGAACTGGGACCGAAAATGATGACTTAATATACGGAAATCACGAAAACTGATGGATTCCTCTGGGGTGTTTTTTACTTGACACGAGCACTGTGTGCTGTGTTCTTGCCTTTTGTCCTTGTCCTGACCCTTGCTCCTGGTGTGTCCTGTTGCGACAATTTCACGCTTCTCGGACGCCGCTGACAAGCTGACAGCTGCCACTTGAGCGATGGCGTTTATTAGTTATTAAACGGCGTGATTTATGCCCGCGGCCAAGTGCACCATGGAACCAATCCCAGTCGTTGTCCAACTCCACATCCATCCCCTGCAATTGGCCTGTACTTTTGGCGGCGTAATAAGGACGCCGTCGCCTCCCGGGGCGCGGAGGAAGCCCTCCCTGGAACCGGACATCTGTGGTTCCACGCCGTCACAGATGGGAGTTGGGGATTCGGGATTCTGATAGTTCTCCTCTTTTAAGGGGACATTGTTTGATCTTTAAGAGAGGATAAAAAATAGTTTTTTCAATAACATACAAGTTTCTTAAAGAAGTTTTAAACTATGTTCTATGATTAAATTAAAATAACCAATAAAAATAACACTCCCAGTAGTACCTTTGCCAAGTCACAACCCTACGGAATCAAGGATCCCGCCGGGTTGGCAATGTTGATACACATGTAAAACTGATTGATAACAATTCATTGTTTGTTCAATTTCCCGCTTTTCGGGAAACTATAATTGCCAAACTGTAGAGTCGCATAGAGCAACCCCTGCGATGAGGCGACGAACCCTTGTCGCCCAGTCAGTCAGTCCATTTGACTTTGTCCAAAAATTGAGCTGCCTACTGTGCGCTGCTGTTTGTTTATACTTATTTCATTTTCACACCCCCTTGCGGGTCTTCTTCACCGTCTTCCACCAGAGCCACCCCTTCATCCACAGCCTCATCATTATCATCATCATCATCATCGTCGTTGTCGAAATCGGTCTCAGGTTACTTTGTTTTCCTTGGCCTCCATTGTTTGTTTTCGTTTTCGTTTCACTTTTCGCTAGGTTTGTTTGTCATTTTGAAAAATGCGTTTTACAGTTGTTTTTTTTTTTCAAAATTCAATTGTGGACGGCCGCAGCCCGCTGAAATAAAAAAAGAGGAATAAAAACACCCCTTAGAAGGTATCTGCCTTATCCTCATCTGCCTTCCGCCTTGACTCCCCCTGCGGCTAATAACGTCCTCGTCAGTTCCGGCAGCTCAGTCCTCGGTCCTGCTAGTCCTCACCCCTTCATTCTCAATGAATCCCTGTTCCTGCTTGTGCTTTTTGGTGCCAACACCAAATTATGGTTGGAAATTTTAACGCAAATTTGTGTGGCAGAGGTTGAATGCCAGCGGGATGTCCCCCATAAGGATCTATGATTTTTTAAAAGATAGTTTTCTATAGGAACTTAAGAAATTTAATTGAAAAATATCAAATTAGTCTTGTTTAGGATTAAAAAATACCAAAGAGATTAAATAACTTATAAATCTTCAAGACGAAATTTTTCATAAAAACCTTAAAAAACATATAGATTTCAAGGCCTAAACAATTCCCCCAACGGAAGTCCCAACCAATACCATTTCGATAGCAATCTTCCCTATTTCCCAGCCAAACTAAATCAATTCCAATCGCAAATAAACCCCGAGGTGGGAACACTGGAGTTGGTGCTGTCGCTAATCCTGTGACACATAATCTCGCACGCGCTCCGTGATCTGCTCCGTCCAAGTTACCCCGTTCTGTTTACAGTTTGCCGGAGTAGAGTCGGTGGCAGTTGCGCTCCATTTGTCATCTTCATAATGGACGCGGAGTCAGCCGGTGGAGCGTGTCATCGTCGCCATATCTCACGGATTACAAAACGAGACGGAGGCGCGTCTAAGGGCACGTGTCTTGTTGGAGAAGGAGCGAGAATTAGAGATCACTATCGGACGGAACACGGATATTTATGTTCACCTAAGACGGGGCATTAGCCAGAGTTCCTCCTTCCGAGCTCTAATGACACGTAAACCAAGTCGTTAAAGATTGCCCTTCCAGAGAATCATCGTGAAAAACGGATCTAGAGCTGGGAATCTGACACTGAGCCACAGAGTTCAGCCCAGGGATTAACTTTGTCCGGGGAAAAATATAAAAATTAAACATTATTTTTTATACTTTAATAAATACATATTTTAACTGTCCTAGGACCATCTATATATGTTTAGTAAATCCTAGCAAAATTGTTATTCTAAATTTAAATAAGTTTTAAATGCTATTCAGGCTTACAACATTTCGTGTCAAGTGTAATTTGTGCAAAGGACCTACATGGGAATTGGGATAGCCTGAAAAAAACTGGACTTCTCCGGGCTCCAAGTGGGAATGACTTGCCGGCGGTTGCTGTCAGTTCTCATTAGGGGGCAGCCGGGCCGAATTGATTGATTTATTTTGGCAATTATGTGCATTCGATTAAAAGTTGAACTCGCAGTCACGCGGCGTTCGCTAATAATATGCAGAGACCTCCGCCCTCGTCTAGCAAAGGAGCACAGAAAAAAACAACATAAATCCCCAGAAATATCCCATGGAGCTGGGGGATTACATGGCCCCGAATTGAAAACCAATTGCGACGGGAATGAAAAATCGCGCCAACAAACCCAGCAGGCGGGATGGGGAGCAGGAGTCGGGCAGGACCTTCGGCACGGGGATGTGGTGGCATGTGGCCTGTTTACAATGTCGCTCGACTTGGACAAGGGGATTTCTTTGTTTTGGTTTGGTTTTAATTTTGAGCAACGAATAAATTAAATCAACCGACAGTCGAAATAATTGCCGGAAATTGGTGACGTTGTTGAAATTTCTTCTCTGCCCTCCAATTGAGACGGAACGGAAGGGGACTTGGGGTCCAGTGCTTAATAAGATTATGCGTGACCCGACGAGCACGGCTTCCATTAACAAGGACCTTTGGCCGGGATCAAATTTGAGGCTTAAATGGAACGTGTGACGTACAAGCTAAGCTTGGTTTCGAAAGATTGAAAGGAAATTAATATAATATAAATAATGATATTAAATAAAATAAAGCATAATAATTAGTTAATAAAGGAACATTATACATTTTACTATCGGTGAGCAGCCTTCATTATGTTAACACGTACAAATTTGAGAGAGGAATTCTAATTACATAATAACAACAATAATCTCTATTAAAACTGAAAGCTCGCCAAGATTGATGTTCTTTCAGAGATTCTCAGATTTCCGTTCTCAATGCAACAACTTGCACTGTGGAAAAGCTTTGATAACCTGTCTTAAGAAACTCTCACTACCGATCGAGGTTTAGTTTCGATCAGAGCTTACTGGAAGATGGTTGCTGGCGTTCGAGTGATTTTCCTTATTTTTGGGGTATTGCCAGCGTTCTTATCGCGTAAGTTGCACATGGTTTGAATGAGAACTTCCCAGACATCAATAGGAATATTCTTATTTTCCGATTGTTTTAAGATTTTTACTATATCTGTAGCACACTCGCTAACTAGTTATGATAATCAATGACTAATAAAACTCACCGAGTCTAAGTAAGAGGGGTATCAAAGTTTGTGTACATCAGTGTGTGTAATATATATACGATATGAGATATCTTCTTTACATTACATATATGGTCTTTTACCTTAAATCCTCTTTTGCAGCCACTCAGGGCCAGGACCTGCCGCAGGAGTGTGGCAAGCTGCGCGAGACCCAGCTCCACAACGAAATGGAGATCACCGCAGCGGACGAGTACACCTGGATTGGCCGTGTGGGCTACAGTCAAGCGGATAATCCAAAACCTTCATTTCTATGTTTGGCAGTGCTGATCCACCAACGTTACGCGATCCTGCCTGCGCACTGTGTTAAGGCCGGTCACTACACAATCGAGTTCATCCTTTTCGGGGACTGGCGCGCCAACGAGAACCTTAAGGCTGGTGACTGTCGTCTGGAAAGGGGCTTCACCTCGTGCTCTCCGCCTCCGCAGGCGGTGGACATTGAGGAGATTGCGATGCACCCGTTATATGACGACGCCAAACACGACTACGACATTGCAGTGGCCAAGATGGTGCGGAGCGTCCAACTCTCGGAATTCGTGCAACCACTGTGCCTGCCGCCCGCCCGCGAGATCGAGGGCAATCATATATCCCGGCGGCTAGAGATGGCTGGATTTTCCAGATGGAATCATTCAGTTGAGGAACAGATGGACGACTTTGAGTGGCGGCGGAAAGTGACAAGGCACACGAGCAGTCTGGAGTTCTGCACTGCGGCGGTGGATTTTAGTAGGGTTGCCTTTACCCAAAACCACTTGTGTGGCGTTCAGCCTGGAACGAACGAGCTGATGTCCGGGGCACCACTTATGGACGTCGAGGTGGTAGACGGAAAGCCACGGAACTTCTACCTCGTTGGATTGAACACGTTTGGGAAAAAGTCTACTATTTCATCGCCGTTCACCGTAAACGGTTTCATTCGCATCTTGCCTTTTAGAAACTGGATTCTAAAAAATATCGAGTAGACTAACATAAGCCATTTAATTTACCGATGCTGGAAAGCAAAATCCAAACAAATTGGAACCTTAAACTTAGGAATCTTTAAATAGTGACAATAAAAAACTTTATTAAAACTGAAAGCTCGATTATTTTCACAGATTTCCGCTCTCAATGCAACGATTTGCATAGAGCAAAAGCTTTGATAACCTGTATAAAAACAACACTTCCTCATTGCCGATTGAGGTTTAGTTTCGATCACAGCCCACTGGAAGATGATTGCTGGCATTCGAGTGATTTTCCTTATTTTCGGGGCATTTCCCACGTTCTTATCGCGTAAGTTATAAATCGGGTGAAGGAAAACCCTTAGAAAAGCATAAAATAAAAATAGTATAATTTTTCCTGATATAATACATTGTTTTTATTTAGTTACTTCATCTATGGTGAGGTGAGGTTAAAAATCAGTGACTAATAATGGTTACTGAACTCCAGAGAGCATGAGAATCAGTCAAGAGATGTAATGCTACAAAATAAACAAATCAAGATTTAAGCTTTCTTAGCGATACAATATTTATGTAAAGATTTTTATATTTTTGTTCTTTAAATCCTTTTCGCAGCCACTCGGAGCCAGGAGCTGCCGCAGGAGTGTGGCAAGCTGCGGGAGACCCAGCTTCACAACGAAATGGAGATCACCGCTCCAAACGAGTAATCCGGATACTGAATTCTTATGTCTGGCAGTGCTGATCCATCGGCGCTTTGCCATCCTTCCCGCTTCCTGTGTTCTGCTCGATGGTACCAGATCACCAGTGTTTATTCTCTTCGGTGACTGGCGCGCAAACGAGAACTTCAAAGTGGGCGACTGTCGCCTGGAGAAGGACTCCACCACATGCACTCCGCCACCGCAAGCAGTGGACATGGAGCACATCTCGGTGGATCCACAGTATAAGGTGGGAGAACACGACTACGACATTGCACTGGCCAAGATGGTGCGGGACGTCGAACTCTCGGAATTCGTGCAGCCGCTGTGCTTGCCGCCCGCTCGAGAGATCGAGGGCAACCACATCTCCCGGCGACTGGAGATGGCGGGATTCGTGCTAGAGCATTCCTTCAACGGGGAGAGGACCCTCGACGTGCAGTGGCGGCGGAAGGTGGTGAGGCACACGACCAGCCTGGAGTTCTGCATTTCGCTGGCTGAGGCCCTCGAAAAACTGACCCTTTCCCAGAACCACCTGTGTGGCGTTGAGATAAAACCAAATAACCTCATGTCTGGGTCACCGCTGATGGACGTCGAAGTGGTGGACGGGAAGCCTCGGAACTTCTACCTAGTCGGAATAAACACCTTCGAAACAGAGTCTGATTCTGCCTCTCCGATCTACATAGACGGATTTATGCGCATTTTGCCGTTTCGGAACTGGATCTTGGAAAACATTGAATATGCCATGCATTAAAATAAAATGTAGAAAAAGAGAAATGACGTGCCAATTACACAGATTAAATGGATTTTAGAACAGATTTCTGTAAAGATTATTGCACTCAGTAATATGTCAAGTTCTCCGCTCAGATTGCAGCTTCTCCATGAACTAGTTTTTGCTCAGCAAAAGCTTTAGTAACCCCTGTTAAAATCGTTCGTTAGAATCATAGGCATCAGTTTAATCAAAAGCTTACTACGAATAGGTTTACCGGAGCTCCACTTTGAAAATATTAAAGATATAAAACTTACAAAAACCTAAAAAAAACAAAAATTGTATATCAAATTCCATTGCTTAAAGTGTGTAAATTAAATATAAAATCTTTTAAATATGAGAAAATTGTAACCTGATTTTAATCAATTTTCCGATTGGCACCGATTTTACTAAGCAAAAGCTTTGCTTATCTCTTAAAAATTATTCTCACTAACGATCGAGGTTTAGTTTTGATCAGAGCTTGCTGAAAATGGTTACTGGCGTTCGAGTGATTTTCCTCATATTCGGGGTGTTTCCCGCGTTCTTATCGCGTAAGTTACAGATCGGGTGAAGTAAAACCATTAGAGAATCAGCGAAAAATTAAAATAAGAGCAATTGTTTATAAAAATATAATTGGTTTTGACATAGTTACTTTATCTGAGACACACACTCAATGTAAGCTTCAAAATCAGTGACTAATAATGGTCACTGAGTTCCAGAGAGCATATAAATCAGTCAAGATATGTAATGCTACAAAATAAGAAAACTAAAATATTTAAACTCTGTGCACAGTTGGCAATTCTGCCAACATAAACTATATATTATTTATGTAAAAATCCCTATATTTTTGTACTTTAAATCCTTTTTTCAGCCACTCGCAGCCAGCTGCTGCCGCAGGAGTGTGGCAAGCTGCGTGAGACCCAGCTCCACAACGAGATGGAGATCACCGCCCCGAACGAATTCACCTGGATTGGTCGTGTGGGCTACGGGGAGTCGAGTAATCCGGATACTAAATTTCCATGTCTGGCCGTGCTGATCCACCAACGCTTTGCCATCCTTCCCGCTCACTGTGTTCTTTCCGATGATGACTCTGGAAACAGCACAGCAGTGTTCATTCTTTTCGGAGACTGGCGCGCCAACAGCAACTTCAAGAGGGGCGACTGCCGCCTGGAAAGGGGCTCCACCACGTGCTCTCCGCCACCGCAAGCAGTGGACATGGAGCAGATCTCGGTGCATCCACAGTTCAAGTTGGGAGAACACGACTACGACATTGCACTGGCCAAGATGGTGCGGAACGTGGAACTTTCGGAATTCGTGCAACCGCTGTGCTTGCCGCCCGCTCGAGAGATCGAGGGCAACCACATCTCCCGGCGACTGGAGATGGCGGGATTCGTCCAGGAGCATTCCTGGAATGAGGCAAAGATCCTGGACGTGGACTGGCGGCGGAAGGTGGCGAGGCACACGACCAGCCTGGAGTTCTGCACTTCGCTGACGGAGGCTCTCGGCGAACTAACCCTATCCCAGAACCACCTGTGTGGCATTGAGATAGAAGCTAATAACCTCATGTCTGGGTCACCGCTGATGGACGTCGAGGTGGTGGACGGAAAGCCTCGGAACTTCTACCTGGTCGGAATAAACACCTTTGGAACGGTTTCTGGTACCGCCTCTCCGATTTTCATAGACGGCTTCATGCGCATTTTGCCATTTAGGAACTGGATCTTGAAAAACATTGAATATGCCGTGCCATAGGCACTTGTTTGTATTTTTAATTAATTTAAAATAAATAAACTGTCAATTGTACAGATTGATTATATTTAAAAAGAGATTCCTCTAAATATTATTGGAGTGCGCAAATGTCAGGTTCTCCGCTCAGATTGCAGCTTCTCAATAAATTAGTATTCGCTCAGGAAAAGCTTTAGTAACCCTTGTAAACATCATTCGTTTGACTCATTGGCACTCAGTATATTCAAAAGCTTACTAAGAATAGGTCTACTGGAATTTGACTTAGAAATTATTTAATTCAATTTTCAAAAGCCTATACATATATACTAAAAGATAGTTAATAAAATTTCATTGATTACAGTGTATAGCCTAAATGAAAAATCGTTTAAATATGTTGCTAAATTCAACCCGATATTTATAGATTCTCAGATTTGCATCTACTTCACTGAGCAAAAGCTTTGGTAAGCCGTATAAAAAATATTCTCATAACCGATCGAGGTTTAGTTTCAATCAGAGCTTTCTGGAAAATGATTGAAGGTGCGCCAGTGTTTTTCCTCAGATGCGGGGTATTGACCGTGTTCTTAACGGGTAAGTGTAGATCGAGTAATGGAATTCCTTTAAATACACCTTAATAAACATGTATTTTGTTCTAGTCATACAAGGACAAGAGCAACAGCAGTGTGGAAAGCTAAGGGAAACCCAATTCTACAACCACAAGCTCTTCACAGACCCGGACGAGCACACCTGGATTGGCCGCCTGTTCAACGGTGGTGAGCCGGATAAGCCAGAACCGGTATCCGACTGTCTGGCAGTGTTGATCCACCAACGCTACGCCATCCTCACCGCTCTCTGCACTCTCTATAATTATCCGAGCACCCTTCCCAAGTACATTGTCTTTGGGGACTGGCGCGCCAACCCGAACACCAAGACGGGCGACTGTCGTGTGGCCAGTGAAATCACCCAGTGCTCCCCGTCTCCGCAGGCGGTGGACATTGAAGAGTTTGCGGTGCACCCGCTATATGTTAAGGGCAAACTCGACAACGACATCGCCCTGGCCAAGCTGGTGCGGAATGTCGAGCTCTCGGAGTTTGTGCAGCCACTGTGCCTGCCGCCTGCTCAGGAGATCGAGGGCAACTACATTGGACAGCGACTGGAGATCGCGGGATTCCAGTACCAGCCATCGAACCGTGAGGAGGTGACCGAGGAGCTTGAGTGGCGGATAAAGGCGACAAGACACGCGAGCAGCCTTGAGTACTGCACCTCGGTGATGGAGCCGCTGATCAAGGAGAATCTTAGCCAGAGCATCCTGTGTGTCGTGGGGGTGAAGACAAATTATTTGCAGCCGGGATCGCCGCTGATGGACTTTGAGTTGATGGACGGAAAGCCGCGAAACTACTATCTCGTCGGAATAAAGACCTTTGGGACACTTGGGCGTTTCAGATCGTGGACTTTCATAGACGGATACCTGCGCATATTGCCATTCAGAAACTGGATCTTGAGAAATATCGAATAAAAATGCCATAGATATATATATTCCAATCTTAAGTTGTAAACAGAAGAAGTGTTGTTTTATTAAAAAAACCTAAGATGATATAGCGACAGATATTGGCTTTCGCCTCCTTGAAGAATCAGAACCCCAGGTAAATGCCAGGTGTTACTGCCCCCTCACTTTATGACTAGCAATTAGTAATAAATCTGAGGCGTATGGAGGAGCGATAGACCATTTCGGAAATTTATTTGCCAAACTGCAGGCATTTGTCTTGAGTATTCCGCCTGTCCGGGATAAATCAAAACTTTCCTTGCCATAAATAAAAGAATGCCTAATAATTACAGCACTGTCCGTAGGTTTGGTCCGGCGCACATACTTCCTTCCTCCTCCCCCGAAGGAAGAAATGTAAATGAGTCTCCAGCGACTAATAAATTCCCAATTACACATGGACTTGGCCCGGCCAGGGACGGCGGACGTCTGATGGCCAGCACACCAAGGTCCACTCATAAAACTATGCAAGCACACCCTCTTCCCTTGTCCACCCCCTCTTGTGCCGTACTGGCAATAAACTAAAAAGCATAAATTTCTGAAAACGACAAATTCATGCACTTGGCAAATTCTGAGGGGGAAAAAATGGAAAATCAAACGGAAAACACGGAAAATCACAATTACGAGCGCCCATCCGGCGAGGTGAGAGGGGTGAAACCAAGGGGAGGGTCTTCGCGTCCTGGACGGAGCACTCAATGTCCAATTACGGGTGACGACGAGTACGTCGATACCGGCAAATGCCGACATCTGTGACCCCGTGCAAGATGGAGATGCGTGAATGTTCTCAGGCAATCGCATTTGTTCCGACTGCCTCCTGTTCCTCCTCCTCCTCCTCGTCTAATGCACGAGATGGATGTCACCGATATCGGAATCGACCGGAGAGGATGCAGCTGATGTCATTAAGTAAATATGCGAGGGTCAACAGGATATCGATAGGGATCGGGCCTTCAGCATATGGAAAATTCAAAGTTTATATAAACAATACATATAGTGTACTTAAATATACGTTATTCTTGATTAATTCAAAGAATATGGTAGAAGCAGGCCTTGTTTTTTCGCAATTACCATTTACTTGGAGTTCCTAACAAGTTCTCACCGAAGTCGGGTCTCGTTAAAATTCCTGCGAAATCAGTGCGAAATGAAACGAACACAAAACTGGCGAAAAAAAACGAAAAAAAATAAATATTTGGTATCCTTCCTTACATATGTTTTACGATATTCGTGACTGTGTGAGTGTGTTTATACGAGTGTGCCTGCTGTGGGGGCTTCCCCCCAAGCTCATTTGGTGGGGGGTAACCCCCGCCCTGTCGTTGCTGTTATTCCTTTTTATGCCTTTTTGCATACTTTATATATATTTGTGCAAAATTTATGTGCGCTATTGTTTTTATGGCATGCACCCATTTCGCCCCCAAGTGCCATATATGTATGTGTGTATGTATACCCCTCGTCCTGGAAGAAGGCCGAATGTTATCCTTGTTCGAAAGGCATTTTAATGCCGACCAGGGGTTGGGTGCAAAATGGAATGGCATAGAGGGATTGGGATTGGGATTGAGATTGGGGCTGGGTTTGGAGTCGTGCGATGGTTGGGTGTTCTGGCTGTTCTGGCACTTTTCTGCAAATTATGGCACATGCGGCGACGTCGGCATTATGCCTGATCCTTTTGCCTTTATGTGTATGTCTGTCCATATGTAAATCCGTATATGCCGGAGCTCTGCCACTTAAGCTGCTTATGTGGCAAATACATAAAATAAAAATAAAATGGAAAGCACAAATGGCAAGAGAGTGAGGGGGGAAAATCCTCGCATAACGAGCATTTCCCTCTGCCATATTTGTGTTATTTTATTATCATTTTTCTTTGACGTTTTTTTGTCCTTGTGGCAGCGTTTCTCACAAAATGGCGGTGGGTTTTACTTTAACTTTAGTGTTCCCTAGTTTATGAAAGATTTTTTAGTTTTTAACAAAATATGAATACATTTTCATTGAAATATATTTCGATTTAGTTCCTTAAATCCTTGATCCTGTGAGTTAAGAATGTCAAATTGTATTTTTCATTAAAATAAGAGCATTAAATAATTATAACTTTATTAAATTCTGTGCCTTCCTAAGACTTTTTGCCTTGAATAGTCTTAAATTTTTCTTTCTGTGCTTCCTTCTGCTCCTTCGATTTGTGCCGCTTCTTTTCTCTTAGATGAGAATACTTACTTTTATATCTGTCAGATATGAGTTGCCATAAACTGTACGTGCTGGTGCGGGGGCTTATGTACATATATCTGGGTATCTGGATAGATGTATATATGTATATGTGCCACTGATACGAATCCAATTTCTCAGCGGCAACAATAAAATACTCGGCACAGCCTTCAGTGGGGGCGGAGCTGAGCTCTGAGACTGAGGCTGTAACCGAATCCGAATCTGAGGCTTCTGCTCAGCTTAAAACTGAGACTGAGATGACGATAAGCGAAAATGGCGAACCGCCTTATGACGCGACTTAACGGGATTCCCCGCGCCCTGATTATGGGCATAAATACGAGCCAACCCCCCGCCCACTACACATGCGAGGAAAATTTAAATAAACTGATAAACGAATCCAGACTAAGCCCCAGCCAACGTTGATGGCTGTTTCAGCTGATGTTTTCCAAAAGATTCAACTGCCGCGCAGCAGAAGATACTCGTGCGGCAAGACAATAAGGCTAAAGTTGCGAGATTCGAACAGAAAATACCCAAGGTACTAAAAAGTACATACATATTAAATAATATTTATAGTAAATAATATTTCTATGCTAGGATACAATTCAGGAAAATCGGTTTGCTGCTCTAGCAGTAACTGAAAAAATCCCAAATATTTTCTTCACTTTCAGATATTCAAACGAAAGCTACCCTTCGATACTTGACAAATACCTTGTACAAAAATGAAGACAGGCAAGTTGCTTTAATTAAAGCCAAAAGCCAGCGGTGTTAGCAATGCAATGGTGGCCGTGTTGGAAGCAGACCCCATCCAAAGACCTGGTCGCCAAGTCGCTTGTTTATGACCCGCAGCGGTCGCAGCGATCAGATACAGTATCTTCACCTGACACTGCGACTGGGTCCGCCCGATCCTGGTGCTGGCCGTCGGCCGGCGGTGGTGACAATTTATGACATACAACCTGGAACGACTCCAGCTCCTGCGAGTCCTCCTGCTCCTCCTTTAGCCCAGCAATGGATGCCGCAGTAGCTGCTGGCCAATGGCCGGCGAGCTTATGAAAATCATAAACATTGAACGGCGGCCGACGGTGACATCCGAGCAACGAATATGCATTTTAATAAAATAACCTAAAAGCCACATAAATCACATCCGACCGGGAGCATCGCGTGCCTTCTCCACCGAAGTTTATCTGCCGGCAGTCGCTTAATGGGTTTACCAGCAACATTGAGCTGCTCCATATCTGCCTCTTCGTGCTTTGCATTGTTTCCTCCATTTAAGTTAACTAAACTTTAAGTTTTAAGGAAAGGAATGCATTACACTTATGTTTTGTTAATAATACATAATTATAATAAGATTCAATATCAATTATTATTATAAATGCAACTTTTTTACGTTACGTTCTTATATAAGTTCCCAAATAAAATAATTCTAATCTCATAAAATTCACCCAACATATCCTTGAGAAATATGAAAGTCGCATCAGTGGCCTTGGGTCCATTTGGCCCTTAGGACCCATCAAGTGCCAACTGTCAAAATATTCAAAAACCGACACTTTTCGTCTAGACTTGGACAGCCTCAGGCTCTCAGTTGGTCATACTTCTCGGCCAATTATCAATATATCTGAGCTGAGGAACTGGTGCCGGATCCCGGGCATCAGGATCTCGAACTGGAGCAGCTATAATTATGACATATGACGGCACCCAAGCCAGGACCAACAACCCATGTCAAAAAGTCCCCGTAAACACGAGCATAATTTGGATCGACTCGGAGACGTGGACGAGGGTTTTAGGTTCGTGGAATAATGATGCTGGACTCTTGACACATTTGAGTGCTAATTTTAAAAGTCTCGCACATGACCATGGCCAGTCAGAGAAGCAACGATTATGGACAGCAGGAAAGAGGTGTTAAGAAGCCACCCGATCTCTGGGAGGATCATTAACCTTGCAGAATATTATATAAAAAATAAACAAGAATGAGGCCTAAAGCAAACATATATTTTTAGAGAATATATATTAACATTTTACCAAATTCAAGTCTATATCTTGGTAATATAAATAAATTCTCCTAGGAATACTTACTTTTATTGCAGGTTACTTTTTTTTCGTAGCGTGTAATAATCCAAATGAAAAGTAAATACCAAAAATGAGACCATAATCAACATGGCACATTGTATACATTGTGTGCCCGCCCACCCCACCGTCATCCCTTGCCATCGTCGCCCAGACAGACATTTAACGATAACACCCAAAGATATCAAAATCGAAATATCGTTAGACGGTCCCGCGCAAAATGCTTGACAAGCATATCAAACACAGAGCAGTACATGGGTCCCGGGAACGAGTCCCGAGTCCTGGGTCCGGGGTCTCAGCCAGGCTTTTATGAGGCCACCACCCACAGCTCACCGCCCACCGCCCAACATGCGACGCATTCAACATGGCGTCGGTTTCTGTTTCTGTTTCGGTCTCGACTTTCTTTTCGCTGGCTGTGGGGGTTTCCCCTTAACTCGGTTTGTGTGCGATATAAACGAAGTTTACCAAATAAATAAAAGCAGTCCCCCTGAGCCACCCTCCTCCTTCTGCTCCCTCCCTCGCTCAGCGATTGGGTTGCAATATATCGCGTACGTGCTGGCATGCCATAAATATGTGGCCCATGTAGATGCGAGGCAACAAAAATTATATTTCTGTTTGTGTTTGCAACAATTTATTTTTTCTACCGCCCGCCTCTCTCTCTCTCTCCCGAGTGCCACGCCCACGAAAGCATTTTTCCAGCTCAACTCGTTGGGCAATCGATAACGATGGCCGAGGGGAGACAAAGAAGGAGCCATCGACACCGAGACGTCGGAGGTGGGAAGTGTTTTCCCTCAGCTTATTAGATATAGAATACATCTGCTTGGAAGCCTCGACTAAGAGGGTAAACTTGAAAATATCCAGTGCAAGCCAAGTTGGGCAGAGACCGCAGATTTCAGAGAAGCCGCAGGAAGGAGGAGCCCATATCCTTTCATATTTGAGTTGCGTCCAGGTGTATGCATACGAAGGACTCTCAAATCTGTCCCTTCACTCAAATATGTGCACAAAATGAAGGAAACGGGGAAGGTAACTTATATGCAAAACAAGTGTACTTTATTTTTCAAAATCTTGGATGCACTCGGGAAAAACTTAAGGAATATATTCTAATTTTGTTATTAATCTAACAAAATTCGAAATATTTGAAATTCAAGAATCGGGAAAATAGAAAACTTGGCAAATAAAATCAAATTGTATTCTTAATTTAAGTAATTATGAAACTATATTTATTCCAATAAAACTCATTATACCTTTTAAAAAACAGTAAAACCTCTGAATAAGATACCCTTCTTCCCACCTTGAACTGCTTTTTACAGTGCTCATTGTTAAGCGGCGACCTGCACTCAAGAGCAGCAGCTCTAAGGAAAACAAAAGAAACTTTTGGAGGGAAAAGCAAATGGAGGCAACAAAAAAAAATCTGGGCGCAAGCAACAAGCCAACAAATTTAAAATGTGAAAACTTTGCAAGTAGTTGAAAGTTGGCAGCAGAACGACGAACCGCAGCAGCCGCCAGAGACAGAGAGCATTTTTCGGGAATGGAAGAAAATGGGGGAAATTCTTTGTGTGTCCCTCAGCGTAGAAGGGTGCAGGTGCAAAAGGGAAGGTCCCGGATACGGGCAGATACGGATTGGAATACGGGGATACGGATACGGGACTCGATGATTTGATGTAGCTGAAAATTTGCCGCTGCTGAGATTTTCTTTGTGGTTTTCGACTTCTTTTGATATGTGAAGAGCAGAGCATTTTCCAGGGGAGTTTGCTCCAAACCCAAGTGTGCCTGTCATTTGCCAATTCAACTAAAAACTTCAAAGAACTCGTAGCGTACAGTTTGGGGGGGAATCCCCGATGTTCGTCGCCATTTTGAAAGGAACTGGCTACGCTCACGCCCACAACCCGCAGTCGCAACCACAAGTCCAAGCAGGAAGTAGTGGGTGTTATGAAATATGACGAGATATGAACTCATATTCCACCCCTGGGAGAGTCTGCCCTGCTTTTGCGCAATCGCGATTTTTGCAGAGAAAAAAATATGACCAATTTTGATGGTCAACCATGGGGGATTTTTTATTTGATATCAAAATGGCTCCCATCTCTGCAAATTATAGGTTTTAAAAATAATAATAAATTAAGAAGATGTTTATTTGCATTTCAATGGCTTCAAAATTATGGAAATATGGAATAATATACTTAAGCGAACTATGACTTTGTTGTTAATGTATTCACCAAATATTATTAATGAAACAACAATCATATTAAGCTTAAGATTTCTCCTGAGCCCCTCTTGGTATTCAACAACCGCAAGGCACTTGGCCCAAATGCCAATCAAACTCTGGCGCTGCCCAAATATTATCACAACAAGGCCGCAGAACAATGTGGAGGCCATCAATCAAACGGCACTCCAGAGCATGGCAGACTTTGGACGGCAGTCGCCAGCCAAACCAATCATCCGTTTGTCCATCCATCCAGATCCGAATCCTGGACATCCAATCACCCAATCGCTCAGGCGTATCGCAAGAACAACAACAATTTTCCAATTAAGCGACCAAAAATTTGAGCATATGATGATTATTGACGATAAGAGTCGGACATGGACTCCCAACCGCCCCCAGGAATCCCACTTGGTCAGCCGAAATGTGCAAATAAATCGCACAATCGTCCGTCCGGCTGCGTCCATTCGCCCGTTCGTCCTTTTCGTTTCGTTACGTTTCGGCAGGAGCAGGATTCGCAGCTATCTGCGAGCATCGAAACTAAAAGTTAGCTGCGGCCACGCCAAACCAAAACAAAGAAACTTTCATTTCCAATTTTCTTGATGTATTAAATTATTTACACCCTCTTGAGCACAGGATTCGTGTGCGTGGCACACTCATATGTGTAGATGTAAGTACTTGTATAAATACATATAGAAGTATGTATATAGCTTTATGTTCACAGTTAGACATCTTTGTTAAAAATATTTAAGGTATGTAATTTAACGTAAAATTAATTTCTTTACTCTTTGAGGAAAACTTTACACCTTTACTTTAGTTTATCATAATTTTCCCTTTGCTACTAAATATACTTTCGCCAATTCTCGAGCTACAAACTTGTTGCCGTCTGAGATCCGATCTTGGTGGAAATGATAGCCAGATGAAAGTGTCTGTCGGTGTTCACAGCGATCCCAGCAACATCGCACTTGTGTCACCACGTTGGGCTGGAACTGTCTCAGCTCTGCAAAAGCGAATTAATTGGGGATGGCGAAGGCGTAGCCATGGGGATGGGAGCTGTTAATTTTCACAGTTGGTGCGCAGAAAAGAAAATCTCCTCTTAACGGTATCCAACTCAATTTCACCCAGTGGGCCAGTGAGCCAAATGTGCAGCGATCATCGCACGGCATCGCCGGGGGAATATCCCCCGACGACGCCTCCAAGTAGATGCAATTTATGATAACCAATTTGCGGACTACATAGATCCATTGGCACACGAGCGATATGTTATGCCAGCAGGCACCGATTTCAAGTCGAAAAACTACCAGGGGCAGTAGCCGTTGGGCTTAATCACTGCGCTGCACGCATCGTTAAGATCACCAGCCATTACTAGCCAATATTTATACATGAAGGTGTGTGGTGTGCGGAGCGGTTGTTGCCTCCGCTGGGAGCACTCGCCCGACTGAGATCTGCTACTTTTTGGAGGCACTTAATAACCATATTTACTCAGGCAGTCTCTTCTCTCTGTTTGAATAGCCATTGTTCTTGTATTTTAACTGAAAACGGTGAGTTTTAGATGAGAAATGGGCAGTTCTAGTGATCTAGTGCTCGCCTTTTGAAGAGAAACTGCCAGTGGGTGGGTGGATAGCACTGGTCTTGCGCGAATTTATCTTTATATTTGTTCACATTCTTTTTATTTATCTTTCCTATTTATTTTAATTAATTTTATATTCATTTTTTGTGCTGCTCTTGGCCCTTACAAAGTATAAACTTGATTATATTTCTGTGTAGATAGAAATATTAGAAATAAATAAGAATTTAGCTTACTTTGAACTTGAATTTTTTTTATTTATTTTTCTAATATATTTTAATTAATATAAGATTGATTTTTTTATCTCGCTTTTTGCCCCTACAAAGTAGAATCGAGACAAAAATATGAGAAATAAGTAAGAACGTTACCATAGATTGTGCTTGACCATAATATACCCGGTGTCCAAAGCATTTGTACATTAAATTATAACAAAAATGAGTACATCTTTCCGAGAATCTCCGAAATGATTACATAATAAAAAAAAATTACAATATATCCTTAAAATAATATAATCAATAAAAATAGATATATATTATAATTTTTTAAATCTAGAAAGCTATTTAAAAGACAAAAAAACATAGAACAAGGAAGAAAGCTAACTTTGGCCAGCCAAAGTTTGTATACCCTTGCAGGTAACAATTAAAATATATCATAACTAAGCCAAAAATGCATTAATTTCGATTCGGAAAGCAGTTTTGTGTTAGTTTTTATTAATTTAAAAAAACTGCATACCAAATTTAAAATTTAAAGAAATCAAAATTTTTGGCCATTTTTGCTAATTTTAATGATGTAACCCCTTATCAAATTTCGCAAAAATGGCCAAAAAATCGATTTCTTCCGGACATGTCTAGAAAGATTCGCATGATAATGCTGATCAAGAATATATATGGTTTATGGGGTCGAAAATGATTCCTTGACTTGGAAAAGTATTATTTTGTATTATAAAATCTGATTTTTTATATTAAAAAACTTCTTGATTTTTTTTTAATTAAAAATATCATAACTCGGCCAAAAGAGCATTAATTTTAAATCGGAAAACTGTTCTGTGCAAGATTTTCTACAGTTAATAAATCTGAATACTTCATTTAAAAATTTTAAAAATTCAATTTTTTATCAAAATCAAAAATTTTAATGATGTAACCCCTTATAAAATTTTGCAAAAATGGCCAAAAAATCGATTTCTTCCTGGCATATCTAGAAAGATTCCCCTGTTGATGCTGATCAAGAATATATATACTTTATAGGGTCGGAAACGTCTCCTTCACTGCGTTGCAAACTTCTGACTGAAATTATAATACCCAGCAAGGGTATAAAAAGTCCTGTCCAAAAGATTAAGGAGCAAATAAATCGCAGCTAAAAATGATTTAATTTGAATTATTCAAAAGGCACAACTGATGGTTAAGGGTAATTACAATACCACCGATCAGATACAAAATGTTTATAGAAATCGAAAAGTGCCAGCAGCCCGTCGACGCCGAATATGATCGCGAGACCGGAGCATCGTTGGGCATCCATCCGTGGTTGGGTAACGAAAACATGTCAGCGCACAGAGCCGGCTGAAAAATGCATATGGCCAATGCTAATTGCCCTCCCGAAGCAGCTACCGATCCGTCTTCATCCCAACCAGGTTCGAGATCCGTCTGCATCCCATCAAGCACGCCAGTTCTTTCCGTCTGAGTGCCTCGCGATCTTGGGTCGCAATTTATAAAAGCTCTGGCCGCCCAGCGATTTCGCTGCAGTAGCATCCCAAGATCGCCGGCGACTGGCTGTGGATATACGATAGCAGAGATCAATTGCGAGGACACACAGGCAGGACACTGGATAGCTGCATCACACACACAACTATTACACGATGAAGCGTCTCGAGTGGCTGCTGCTCCTGGCGTTGGTTGCCTCCGTCTCTACGGCGGTGGCTCCGCGAAGGCGACGCCACAGTACAGTGGAACCGCCCTCCTCCAGTCTCAGTGAATGGGGATGGGATCTGGGCCCGGAGATGGCGCTCGTGAGAAGGGTCTACGATGACTGCCAGGACAAGAACGACTTTATTGGTTGCCTCAAACAGAAGGCGCTTCACGCACTCACTCGCGCCTTGGATCAGGACTCAATTAAGATCGTGGACGGCCTGGTGCTGGAGAAGCAAAACCAAACCGAACCGGACAGTATCCTGTCCTCTCTGACGGATGCTCGGCAGTTTGGTGGTCTGCCACCTATCGACCGAGCCCTTCTCTCTAAGGCGGATAAACTCATACGAACGCACACACTGAAGATCGACATGGACTTTGGCGCCGGCGGCGAAGAGGTTGTGGGGCGTGGCCACGAGCACAGCCACAAAAAAAAGAAGAAGCACAAGGAAGGAGGCCACATCAAGTACGTGGTGGCTGCCCTGCTTACCGCCATGGGAATCGCCGGTCCCTTGGGCCTAAAGGCTCTGGCGACGATTGCCGGCAAGGCGCTGGTCATCAGCAAAGTTGCCCTGACCATTGCCGGGATCATAGCGCTAAAGAAGCTCTTTTCGACCGATGGCGGCGAAGAGCACAGCTTCCAGGTGCACGCCGGAGATAGCAACAGGTGAGTCTGTTGCCTGGACTTTGACCTCAACTACTATCAAGGAATGCCCCAAATTGACTGACCAAATTGTAATTTATGTGCCTTCCTCTTTCAGGCGCAACACCTATGTGATCCGGCCGGTCTCCAAGACGACCGCTGGGGCAGCTGGAGTCGGTACCGTGGGTGTAACGGCCGCCGGTGGCAGCACTTCGGTGGATCCATATCGCTACTACTACGAGTACCACCAGCAGTAACGCGTTTTCGCCGTCGTATCTGGTCGGGCGGGTGTCTGGAGAACTCTGCGTCGCTTAACCGGCGGAGTCCTGAAGCAGCTAGGCTACCAAAGAACCGATCCACAACCAGTCGGGGCCCTAGAGCAGCCCCGACAGCCGCCTGGCAGCAGCCGTTCACCTTTATGTAGCTCTTAAGACATAGGCTAATCTATATTGAAGTTGGGCCTGATGCCGATTAACCTAAATAATAAAGTAATGTTAAACTACTTTATTAATCGAGAGGGAATTGGGGATTGAACAGAAAATCCGATATAATTTTTAATAGAAAATGTGTAATGTTTATTCAACTTAGAAAATCACAGCCCTTGGAATGCAAATTAATCAGAATCATCCGAAATATCATAGGTGGCGGTGACTTTCCTAGTGCTTCGGACGTTGCTCATGAGAGTTGGTTGCCTTCCCGAGGAGCGCTACATGAAAATGGAAATTGAGTAATCTAGAAACTGTGCCAGGAGAAATATTCCCTACCGTAGTGTTGACAGACACATCTAATTGGGCCCTGCCACGGGCAGCTGTTGTGGCAGCCGCTCGTCCTCGAGTGGTGGCACGGCCACGACCACCTCGTCCTCGTCCCGTCGCAGGGACATCGGCTGTGTTTGGTTCGCTGGCCAAGACAAATGAGGATTTATCCTCCGGCTTCACCTTGGTTCCCCTGGCATCGAGCATTTTTAACAGATCCTCGTGCTTGTGCCGCATTCTAAAGCTTTCGAGTTCGTCGTCTATGTTCTCATCATTAGGCAGGCTTTCCATTAAATGATCCACTGCCTTCTCCTTATAGAATCTGCGTCAAATGGGATTTTATATGCGAAAGATTATGGGTTATATTTCTTTTCTTGACTTACTTGACAATGTTTTCGGCGGCATTGGCATCCTTTCGTTCCACCAGGCGATAGGTCATCTCGGCCAAGGCCTTTGAGTGAAGTAGCCTTAAAGGTTTCTTGGTCTTTGCCTCATCGAAGTAACGATCTACCAGCTCCTCCACTCGAGTAGCATTATCCGCTTCCTAAAAATAATTCAATGAGTAATTAATAAGATATTTAAGTGAGCAACTCCTATATTCCTACCAGAGCCCGCCGCAAAGCCTCCTTGTCCAGGTTAACCGCCTCCACTTTGGTGCGCTTGATCAGCTTGCTAAATAGCACCACATCCTGGACATTGGCCACTCGCGTGCCGAACATCTGACTGAACCGGATGGTGTTGAACATGCAGGACTCGTCGGTGTAGAGCAGCCGCAGCCGGATGAGCGGCAGCGTGGGCTGCCTGGGATGGCCCGTCAGCTGAGCCTCGGCCTGGGCAATCATTGCCTCAACCCTTTCCTTGGCAAATCGAAAAACCTTGGTTGAAGCATCGCCTTCGTTTAGGCCCAGCTCCTCGGCGCGATCCGGCAGGACAATGGAGTCGAAGACAAAGGGACGCACCGTCTGCAGCGGCAGCTCCTTGAGCTTGAACTTCGTCTTGTAGATCTCCAGCAGGCCGACGTGCTTCTTCTTGGCCTCGCCCTCGGACAGGGACGTGGGTACGGAGGAACCAGGTTGGGAGACATAGAATCCCTTCTTGGCATTGACCTCCGGCTCGATGCGGCAATCGTGTTCGTGGCCCCAGATCACCAGGTGCAGGAACGATGGCAGCGAGTCCTCGGGCAGATAGTTCTTCGGCCCGCGATCTGCCCGGTTTTGATGTACCACCAACAGATGGAACCACTCCTCTTCCTGTTCGCCCTCCTTGCCGTCATCGCGTGCCTTGTCGGGGCAGTTGAAGTTCACCTTAAAGTCCTTGACTAGCCTGGCCAGCCGACCGTCGTGGATGTGGCTCAGCCCGTACAGGGCCATCTGGCTCTCGCCCTTGCGTATCAGAATGGGACTAATCTCCACCTGGCTGAGGTCCGTCCAGCGGCCAAAGTAGTTCACCAGGCCCGCAGTGCTCAGCAGATCCAAAGAGCTAAGACGACCAAAGCCACTGGGATCGTCGTGGTTGCCATGGATGGAGAACACCGGGATGCCGATGTTCAGGTTGGGGTCCTCGTAGTTCACCGACTGGTTGACGGCATTGTGAAAAGACTGCACCTGGTCGCTTAGGATTTCCAGGGAAACGGGACGATCGCCGAAGGTGTATCGCCGTAGGAGCTCCATGCATCTGTTGGACAATGGGCAGTAAAACCATAGGACACACAATATTTCAAGATTCACCACTCACTTGTGCAGGGAATTCTGGCTGGGCACTGCGTCGTGAAAGAGGTCACCGCCCAGCAGGATCATGTCCACGTCCTCGGACACCGCCAGCTCCAGAATCTCCTCGAAGGCAGTGAAGCTGTCCTCGCCGCGCACTGCATCCTTTTCGCCGTAGCCCAGATGGTTGTCAGTGGCCACCAGGATGCGAATCACATTATCCGCGTCCTGCTCTGCTCCGGTGGTGTCGCCCATGACTATCTTCTCTTGTTTAAAATAAAATAAATACAATTTTGTTACCGCCTTAATTTCACCAGCAGCAAAACGATAGCCAGAGAGCGAGCAATCGAAGGCGATGCATTTTTGAGGAGCTATCGGTATCGCTCTGCATATCGATGAGGCGGCAATTAAAGACGAGGGATTTCCAAATTCAAGTACTGCGTATAAAATCCCCTCTTAAGCAGATATTTTGTGAAACTAATGCAATTGAAATAAGTAGGTAAATATATATTAATAACTTTGTATAAATTTCCCTATATAACTACAAAAACGCTGTAAACTTAAGAATAAAAAAAAGCTGAATTATGTATAAAAGATCATTGTGTATCCTGCCGTCACATTAACGCTTATTGATGAGAGCGAGCCTTGTTCCGATCCATCACAGCCCTTTGATCGCTTCAGTACAGTTTGAAGTTACTTGTTCAGTCCAGATATGGCATTATGACCTCGTGGATAACATCCTGCCGCGTGTGCCAGGCCAGGTGGTGGACATGGGGCTTGACCACGATAATCAGTTTGTCCGCCTCCTGAAGAGTCCTGATGCCGATGGAGTCGTCCGTGAAGAACTTTCGCTGGTAAAATGGAATCACATCCAGATTCTCGTCGTAGTAACTAAAGTGACTGAAGAGTGACGAACCTTGAGTTGTTTTATTTTCTATTGTAAGCGCTAGCTAAGTCTTACCTGGACTGCCAGGGCGTGATCACATCGTCGTTGGGTCCGCCAATCATGACCAGTTTGTCGAGCCGCACCATTCCCATCTTGAAGGATGTGGAATTGGAGGTCACTTTCTCGTTGTTGATCAACGGCAGAAACTCGCTGTACTTCATGTACAGATCCTGCTCATGTGGATCGTTCCAGTAGCCGCCCACCGAGGTGTGCTGACCCACACGCGAGTAGAAGAGCTCAAAGGCCGTCTTGGCCGCCAAATCGGGGAAGATCAAATGAAGGAAACTGGCTGGAAGTAGAGGGAACGCAATTATTATAAGTGAAAAAATTAATTTTAAATGTTTTATGATTATCTATTGATTTAAATATATATTTTACTTACTATTAAGAATTTAAAATTAAAAAGATTAATATATTATCTTTGAGCGATTATTGTATTGTATAAATATTTGAATTTTATAGTAATATATATTGTTTTTTACTTAAATCATTCATTGTGAAGAATATATTTAGAATTCTCTGCGAGGTTACATAATTCCTCAAATCTTTGAAAGGCAATAGAAGAAACAAAATAATTGATCAAAATCACGAAATTCGTTACTTTTTATAGCGCTTTTTCTTGTATTGATTTGTGAATACAAAAAATATAATAATACTGCGCTTAACTTACTGCCATATTGCCCCGCCTGTGGCGACGATAAGGATATGAAGGTCTTGACATTGTGATTGGGCAAACTTTGTATGGCCGCCCGGGCCAAGAGGCCTCCCTGGGAGTAGCCTGTAATGGGGAAATACAAAAATTACCTAAATTAATAGCAACATCAAAGGAAGTTAGACTGAAACTTACCCAGTACAATGATGCCTTCCGGATGCAACTTGCCCACTTCGTTAAGGTAATCCCTTACCTGATCGACCTGCCGCCAGGCGTTCTCCAGGCTGTACCAACCGCTGAATTTATCGCAGTTGTAAACTACTGTTCCCGGATGAAGCTTCGGAACATAAGAATTACAAAAACGAACGTAAATTGCGCTGTTTGTGTAGACTTTGACCTTGTTATTGGGGGTCTTTTGCTTGTAAACAATAACAAGGGGAATCCAATAACAAACCTTCTCGATTTCCCGCACCAGAAAGGTCATGGACTCGGGTCCGGAGAGGATTCCATGCAGGATCACCACCGGTTTGTAGGCAAGGGTGCCACTGAGGATCGAGCAGGAGGCCAGGGTCGCTAGCAGGATGTGTAACTGTAGCCTCATTTCGCAGCAAACAATAGATTTCGTTCGAAACTGTTGTTGTTGATATCCGTATCTTCAGCTGGCTCTTAGGGATGCAAAGACATCGATGCATTCACTATCGATAGTATCGATGTTTTTAAAAGGCGATACATCGCAAACGCAGCTGCAACGCAATTATGAGAGTTGTTATCGCCTATCGATAGCCGCATTGAAGTGGTAAATTCAAATACAAATATCGTTCATGTTTAGAGATTAGTTTTAAAATGTATGAATTATTTATTACATATTAAGAAGGTTGCTTTACTTATATTTAATATTTACAAAAAAATTAGTGAAGTAAGCACCTTAATATCCTGCTTTTAAATACATTTTACATTTTGCAATAATTACCTTGTAATTATGTAGTTATAAATCTCCCCCAGAACCAGAAAAAAACTCCCCGAAATCAGTTGAACTTAAAGTAATGCTCGTTTATTCACTTTCAACTTACACGATCGTCGTTTATGTACTTTGCACTATTGTGTCTTGCGTATATTTAAGTCTAGGCGCAGCTTACACGCTCCGAAATTAATATCTACGACCGCATGCGACGCGACTCCCACATCTTTTCTTCACGCAATCCATTTGTCTTTCGAGGGCGGGGACGGGGCAGGGGCCGGGAACAAGGTGACTTCAAGGTATATCAAATATGACAACACTTAACAGATTAGGCTTAGGGCTAGGGCGGCATTTCAACCGTTTGTTTAAGATTTCTCGAACTAGATTTGTAGCGGCTGCGTGTTCCGTCCATTTAACATGATTCGTTCGTTCTGCGGCTGCGACTGCGACTGCGACTGCAGGATCTAGTAGAAGAAGTCCAGCCCAGTGCGAGGGCTTGAACCTCACCCGGCCACCTCCTCGCTGACAAAGTCCAGCTTGACCACCTCGGCGGGAAGGCACTCCTCCACGTCCACCTCGTTTTCTTGCACATTGATGCGGTTCAGGGTCATGGACACGTCCGGCCCGCACTTGAGGCCCGCTGGAGCTCCCGTTCCCGTGCCGGTGCCCGTTCCAGCAGCACCTCCTGCTGCCCCAGGTGCCACCAGTGAAACCGTTCCCACCGCCCCCGTGGCAGTCGTCACTGAGGAAGTGGAGGTGGTACTCACGACATCGTCGGCAATCACAACCGTCGGCGAGAGCACTGTGGACACCACCGGACCACCCACAGGCAGCACGATCTGCGTGGATGAGCAGGTAGAGACGGCCAGGGGCTGTTGCAGCACCACCGTCGTCGTTCCCGCCGCCGCCGATCCTGTGGATGTGGACGTGGGCTGCTGGATAATGATGTTTTCCGTGATGGTTGGCGTGTTGGCCGCCGCTGAAGCAGCTGCCTGTGCCGCCGCCAGAGCCGCGGCCTTTTGCATCTGCTGGTACTGCTTGACGGTCACCGTCGTTCCTGTCGTGGCGGTGGTCTGTGGATGCGCTAGCGGCTGCTGCAGGATGATCTGCTTCGGCTGCGCGACCAACTGCACGTGCTGGATGGGCTGTGTCTTGAATACTTGTTGTGGTGGCTGCTGCGGCTGCTGTTGGGACTGCTGGGGAGGCTGCTGCGGCTGAATGAGAGGCAGTGTTTGGATGACGTGTTGCACCTGCTGGACGGGCACTTGCTTGGCGGGAATGCCCGCGTCCTCGAAGGCCTTCTTCTTCAGCGCCTGTCGTATCTGGGAGCTGCAACGAGCCGAAAGGGATTCCGGGAGTTAGCATTGGCGCCCAGCTGCTGGCCAGTGTTCCCTCGCCATCAGATCACTTACACGGTGCGGTTCTTGATGCTCAGGCTGATCTTGCTCAGGTCGTCCGAGAAGCGCATGATGGACGAGTGCAGCATGTCGATCTCCTCGTCCGTCCACTTCCTACAGGGGCGGCGTCATGGCGAGGGAACACGAGATTGAAATTGAGAACGGGAACGCGGACACAAGAGCACGAAAACACTGACATTAGCAACTCCGGAGTCCGGATCCCAGGAGCGGACAACTTACCCCGACGGCGACTCCGCGTTGGGATGCAGCTGCATGGTGAGGTCGCCAAGTCTGCTGAACGCCTGTCCGGCGGCCGTGAATATCTCCCCAACCTGCAAGTGCACAGGGATTCGGATGTGGAATTGGTTTGTTATTGTTATTGTTATTGGCATTGTTGTTGCTCTCGGCGCGCGTGCAAATTCAAAACAAACGCATCCCCGCTCACCGCCCGCCACCCCGACGACGTTGGAACAACAAATTTCCCACTCGCAGGAGTGAGACGAAACGAATGACTCTCGACTCTCTCCCGCGCCGCCTTTTTCCCGCGGACCGAGCTCCGGCTGCCAGGGTGGCGGGAATAAGTGTTGCCGTCGCCGGCGGACCGGTTGGGAGACCGGAACCTACCTTTGTTGCCGAGTTCATGGCGTTGCGGGTCGTTTGCGGTGCTTTTTTGCCGTAATTTTCTGTTTTGCCTCAGCTCGTAAGCGTGTCCAGCCTTTTCCAACACTGGCCGCTGACGTTTGCAACACTCAAGCGGTGGACTCGATAAGTTAATCGGCATTTTTTCGCACTGTACATTTAATTTATGTTGATATCGATATATCGATAGCCGGAAACGAGGGATCCAGGATATTTGCGAGGATTTAAAACAAATAGTAAATCTAAGGATTTTAACTTTTTTAGAATTTTAATGCATACATTATAAAGATACAAGATTTTTGTGGTGTGTATGTTTGTTTGTTTTCCGTGGGCGCGGCGGGCTGTTTTTGGAAAAATATTTAAGATTAACACGTGAACAAATTAACATAAATAAGGAATTTTAACTTTGCGGTTGAAAATGTAACACTTAACGAAATAACCTAATACTTGATTATATCCTGGACACCCTTTTTGGCTTCTCCTCCAAGCCAGCGACTCCTAGCCTCCCAAAGCACGTCGATTTCTATGTCTGGGAATCAACCTGCACACAGATATTTGAAAAATTAATAAATTTAATAATGATGAAGAAAGCTTTCGTAGTCCACACACCGTTTGGGGGTCAGTTGGATGTTCTCTAGTGGTGAGATCATGAATCTTCCGGCGTAGTCGTTTCTGAGGATTTTTCATAAGCTCCATTTTCCTTGCAATGGCCCGGTCCTCTGAGAATTTTAAGCATCTGAATGGACGTGCAGTTTCAAGCTCGGGAAACGGTACTCACCTTCCGGATCCGTCATGGTCCCGAAGTCCCGATTGTCGTTCCAGACAGACTGCTTTCGGTGCTCATCGTGCGCCGTCTTTCTTCTTTCCCTCCGCACCGCGCAGTCGATTAGGCTCGATTTCTTCAGAGAGAATATATTTCTATATTTAATTCGGAACTTTTTAGAATTTCCCACAAACTCACCTTTATAACGCCGGCACCAACGCTGGGTTTGTGATCCAAGTTGTTGGTGGTGAAAGGTTTTACAAAAGTTGGAGGAGCTAATGACCCATTCGACTCGACGGATGAGTTGCTTCGATTGATTTTGACTGCTTGTAATGCAGAGAGTTCAGCCTCCAGCTTGATGATATTATCGTTCAGAGTGCACAGCTTCTCCTCTAGGTTACGCTTGTCCTCGAGAAGACTGGAAATAGTGGCGTTCATGCTCTCCTTCTCCATCAACACACTGGCCTCCTTAGATTTCTAAACACAAAGATTTCACTTCCATGAAGTTACAAGATTTATACAAAATATTACCAAGGTTATTCGCAGTTGATCGATCTCTTTTGTGAGTTCCAATTCGTGCTCCACGAATTTCCTGCATTTAATGTTGGCTGCATCAACAGCTGACATTTGATTAATACCGGCTTCTCGCAAACGCTTTGATTCATCCTCTTTGGTTCTTAGCTTCACTATGAGTTCAGCATTTTCTTTTTGAAAAATTTTCGTTTTGGTTTCCTAAAAAATAAAAATAAATATAATCATTAGGTAAAAAGCGGAATATATCTTAGTTTACCAGATCGCAACGTAGTTTTTCACACTCATTGGTCAGTTTCTTGAAGGAAAGGCGACCAAGCTCCAATTCCTGGCTCATCGCCAAGAATTTTGCCCTAGATTCTGCTTCTTTAATTCGCAATTCCTCCTCCAATCTAGTTTTGGTCTCCTCCAATTCAGCGAATTGGGTTCGAAGGGAGGCGCACAGCTTCTGCTCGTCTTGAAGCTGGTCTTGGAGGTTGTGGGCATTCTTCAGCTTCACCTTAAGCTCATCATTGTCCGATTCCAGTGCAATCTTTTGCTCTTCCAGGGACTTTAGTTTGAACTGCAACTCGTTCATGGAACTATTGAGATCTGCGAGCTCTTTTCTGAAATCTGCTTCCTGGCTGGCCATCTTTTCCTCCATTGCCTTCAGCTGCGTTGTCAGAGCTAATTCCTCCGCGCTCGCAGCATCTTTTCCCTCCAGGGCGTGCTTCAGCTCCGAGAGAAGTCTTTCCTTTTCGAGATCTCTGCTGGAGATATCCTTTTCGGAAGCAAGCAGTTGCAACTGTAGGCTGTCTACCTTCTCCTGCAGAGTGGAGGACACTCCCGTTGCCTCCGAAAGGGATAACTTCAGGTCTTGATGCTGCGAAATCAGTTCCTCAAGGCTGGCAGCCTTTAGCCTAGCACTTTGTAGTTCTGCTTCAAGATCACTGATCTTGGCTTTCAAAGTCTCCAGCTTCTCCTCTAAATCGGTCTTCTCTGTTGTCCATTTTTGACTGCTTTCATCCTTGTGCATTTCAAGTTCGTGAAGTTGCCTTAGGGTGCTTGAGTGCTGTGCATCGGCTTCAACAATCTTGGCCCGCAGGATTGCCTTCTCATCCCTCAGGTTATCCGTGTATATAGCTAGGTGGTCATACCTTTTCTGGAGCTCTTGGATCTGCTCCTTTGAGGAGGCGACTAGCTCTTTGTGCTCGTTGCTAACTGCCTCCAGTTGAGCCCTTAGCTCTTCTTCGAGATCATTGATATGGGCCTTAGGATTCTCCACCGTTTCTTTCTCCTTTTGCTGGCCCAGAGTATCCCTTTCCCGCCTCAAGTTATCCAGTTCCAGTTTGGTTTTCTCCAGTTCAGCAGTATGGGCTTCCTGGGCAGATCTCAGCTTCGCAAGCTCATCTAACGCCTTATTTCGCTCGTCTTCGGCCTGACTGATTTGATCCTGCAAGCCAGCTTTAACCTTTTCTAGTTCTAATTGTGCCTCAAGAAGCTTCTCTTTCAGGGTGTTTTCGCATTGCCCGAGTTCTGCCTGGTGCTGGGACTTTAAGTCGTCCATTTCTTTAACGGTAACAGTGGAGCACAACAGCTGTTCCTTTAACGAGGCCACTTCGCGTTCGTACTGATCCTTGCACTCCTCCAATTCGAGGGTGTATTGGCGGAATTTCAAACGATTCTCGTTCTCGCTTTTTTCCATATCCACCAAGTACTCCAGCTGCAGGGCTTTAATCTCATCGGTCTTTTCTTTTTCGTTTAAATTTAGTTCATCTTTGGCTTTACTTAATAATTTCTTAAGTTCCTCCTGCCTAACCTCCGCCTGTTTCAGGGATTCCGCCAGCTTTACATTTCTGTCCTTCAGCTGGGCGATTAGAAGGTCATGGTCGGCAAGTTTCTGCTCTTGCCGAACTAGCTGCTGATTATCCTCCGATAATATAGACGGCTTGCCCATTTTCTCAATTTCGGCTTTTAAATCGGCAATGTTGCTGTCCTTTAGCTGCATTTCCTTCAAATGCTCCTCCTTTTCTGCCAGCAGTTTCCACACTTCGGCGTTCCGCTCTGCGAGTGTCACTTCATCGGATGGCTTGACAGGAGATTCATAGCTATCGGCGAGGGTATCCTCGCTAGGCGGAAGTTGCAGGGGGATGGCATCGGTTGGAGGAGTTTCCCCCTTGATGTGTTTTGGGGATTCGAGACAAAGCTTTTCATTTTTCTTCATTTCTGGCTCAAAGTCTGTGAAGAGCCGACTAAAGCCAGAGTGGATCTTAAGCTCGATCTGATGTATTGCTTCTGATATCTTGGCTAACTGTTCATTGTGAGAGTCCGATACTTGCTCAGTGCTCACGGCAGGGGCCTTGATGGATAGGAGCTCCTCCCTTGTCACATCGTTCTCCCTTAGCTGGTTGGAAAGACTGTAAAATTCCTCCCTAAAGTTTTTAAAATTTATCTTTAAACTTGCCAGTGCTGCTATTTGACGTTCCTTATCACTTTTGAATTCAGATTCTTGGCGTTCAGATTCCATTAGCTTACGCTGGGTCTCCTCCATTCGCTTCCTCACAATTCGAATCTCGCACGTCAGTCTCGTGTTGTCAGCCTGCAGCTTCTGGCACTGTTCTTCAGAGGCACTGGAAGTGCGTTCCAGGGACTCGTACTCCTCCTGGAGCTTGTTGTACTTCTGCTGTATCTCCTGGTACTCCGCCTGCATGGTCTCGATGGCCAATGTTTGGCCCTGTAGGTTCTTTATGGTTAAATCCCTCTCGTTGATGGTGGTAAGCAGGTGGCTCTCTAGCTCCTTCGCTTGAGCCTTGTGGGAATCCAACTGCTGCTTCAAGTTTACGAGCTTACCGTTCTCCATCTCTAGCCTCACGATTTCCTGCTTCAGCATCTTCACCTCCTCCTCATATGCCTTGATCTTTTCATTCGCCGTCTGATTAGATGCAGTAAGAGCAAGGACCTCCGCCTGCAGGGCATCGCACCTGTAAGTATTTTAATTTAATTAATTAATACATTATAAATTAGTAATTTAAGCAATTCTAATATAACAATGACTCGGCCAGCCTAAATGTCTTGAGTCTTTTGAGGAGGCCTCTAAAAATAGCACCAGCTGGCGGCAAGTTGAAGTTGCACTCGACGAGGTGTGTGGGACAGACAGATACATACATACATGTGTACAACACTGCAGTCGGGGAACCGTTGAATACATTTGTATCTAAACTATGACTATATTGAGATATTAAGACTGTTTTCAATACTTTAAAGGCATAAGCAAGGGCTTTTCTCAGCTTAATAACTTCAGGCCATCGACTTTAAAGGGTTTTCTCTTTGATTTTATCTTTATTGATGTGCGGGTTAAGCATTTATTGCACTCACTGGAGAGACAAATAAAGTCCAAACTTCAGCCCTCAGCTGCATTCTCTTAGACATTTCACTCACTCTCTCTCGGTTGCAGTCAGCCAATCTATATGTGCGTTACATCACAGTCCACGCTTGGCAGTAGGAACGACGTCACCGATCGATCACCCAAGACGAACTGCGACGGAGGCGGAGACGAAGGTACGTTCTGTTGGCCGTTTGATTCCGTTGAATTCCAACGATCTTATTATCAACAAGTTGGCCAGTTAACTGGCTGCCCGACTGACTGCCTTATCGCACATTTAGAGCCATGAAACGATCGGCAGGGCCAAGCGTCATCGCTTCCAGCCGAGTCTATTTGCAAAAACTGGCTCGCACTAGCCGCCCCATCCCGTCGCTCCCTGGATTCTCTCTGAACTGCTTGTATGTGTGTGTTTGCGTTGGCGTTTGTTATTGTTTTCGTTTTCGTTTTCTCCGAGACTCGCCGCACGGTGAGTGGAGCTGGCTCCCAGCGACTGCGCCGCGAAAGCGAAGACAGCGCGAGAAGACAGTCGAGTAGAATCTAATGGAGTGGAGCAGTGGAGCAGCTCGGCAGGCCGTTATTCACCACACATTCAATCGAAGAGAGTCAGGTGAGCGGGCGCCAGAGGTGAATTAATTGATTTAAACTGAATTTAGCCAGCTACTGTGGTAACCTTTTCTTAAGCGGGATGTGTATTCCCCCTTTATAAAGTCAAGTTGGTTTTTATGAGCAAAAACAAATTCTTTTAACCTAACTAAATGTAACAAGTGTACTCACTTTGGCACTTCGATATATCTTGGCTTTGGCAATTTCGACGTCAATGACGGGCGAGTGAGTGGGGCTGTGGTTTCTGGAATGTCGACTTTTGAAATATCGGCTTTTGAAATTTCGGGAGACGAGCTACATCGCCACGCCCGCAGATGACCTGTGATGATCTTAAGCTTTTCGGCCTTGAGTTGACTTTCAAGGATCTGCACCTTAGGCTGATTATCCTTCTTTCGCTTTTCTTCGGCGATCTGACTCTGGAGCTCTTCGATCTTGCGATCCACCCGCTCCATCATCGAGGTACCGCGCTCCATCTTAGTGACCTTCGGCTTGATGCGGATCTTCCTGGCGCGCATGGCGAAGTTTAGCGTGGATTGAGTCTCCTCTACGATAGAAGGTCTGATAGTGCAGATGACGGAGGTAAAGGCATTGCCGCACAGCGATGCCTGGAGAAAGCGAGTCAGCTTGCAGTCGCGGAAACTTATATACTTGTTGTCCGCTTTATTGTCGGACAAGTGCTTGACTACGTTGCTGAGGAACATCAGGCTCTTGTTGATGTGAACGCCATTTCGAGATCCAACCGGGGAGTCCCCACTCAGACGCTCGGAACCAGCCAGGTCCACCAGATTCAGTATGCTCTGGTGGATAGCCTGCTTGCGATCCTTTTCCCACGACTCGATGATCTGTTTTGGGTTGAGGTTATTATGCTGAAAAAAAGAAATATTGTACTCAACTCACTATCCGAAGGATGGCGTGTGAATGGCAGGAGCGCTCAGGTGTCCGGGCCTCGCCCACGGTGCGCTCCTTCTGAACAGGGCAGAAAAGGCGCATGAGGTCGTCCTCGCTGGTTATGACGCACTCCTCAGAGTTAACCGTCACGATCCCGTTGCCTGCCTCGTGGATCTTGAGGTCTTGGTTCTTTTTGTTGAGCAGGTCGTTGATCTTTTCATTGAAAATCTCAATGTAGCTCGCGCGTAGCAGAAAAATGCGCTCCGTCTCGTTGGCTATCTGCTGGAAAATCTCCTTGGCGGCCAGCACCATTACGCCGGGGTTCTGGCCATCGCCCAACATGGTGTAGGTTTTCCCTGCGAAGAGCGCTGATCAGCGTCCGTGACCTCGAGGAAGGCAATGTACCCACCTGACGACGACTGGCCGTAGGCAAAAATAGTTCCGTTGAAGCCCTGCATGCAGGCGCGGACAATGTGCTGGGCCATTTGGTCAAACACCTTTTGGTTGCCGGCGCCCTCATCGAAGATACAGTCTGGGGAGGCTAATATCCAGAGGGGATTCTATAAGGGAACACTTCAGCGTTACTTACCAAAGACCATGGGCTCCGCGTGGTTGTCCGCCAGCTGGATCGTGCTCCCCTCCTTCACCAACCAACAGGAGGAACTGCTGGGACGCAACTTGATGCATACCTGGATGGAGTTGACGCTCTTCACAGACATTTTATAGCTTATGCTTAATTTCTATTGCTTAATACTTTAAAAGACACTTTATATTGTTCACAGACATACGAATTTTAACGTTTTGCTTAATTTTAATGGAACAGAATATTGACCGACGACTATGTTGCTCTGCTCTTCAATTCGAACAAATACCGCTTAGCTTTACTAGTTCGAAAGATGGAACTTTAAAGGTCCCAAAAAACTATAACTTTGGAGCCAAGCTTTTCCGCCATTAAAGCTTGCAAAGTAAATAAATTTTTTAACTTAAGAAATTACTTAGTGTGATGAATTTTAATGCGGTTGTCAAAAATCATTTTAAAACGCCGTTTCATAGTGTGTTTAAACTTTTAAGCACTTTTTTTTAATTTTGAAAAACATCGATGTCTCCTAGCATCGCTTTTTCTTCCACCCCTAATACCATCTGCACAATCGATATTTAAATCGAACTGGTTCGCACGACCAACAGCTAATGTTTCCAGACTCGCAACACTGCTGGTTCAATTATTAATGGAACCGGAACGCCTGCATCGCAAAGCGGTATTTGTTCGAATTTAACTGTGAAATTCTGAGAAACAAAGATGTCGATCATTAAAAATTAAAAACTCCATTAATACGTTAAAATTCGTGTGTATGTGAAAAGTGCGTGTTGCGAATTGTTAATTAATAAGCATAAGCAATAAGATGTCTGCGAAAGGGGCCAACTCTATCCAGGTGTGCATCAAGTTGCGTCCCTGCGAGCCTGGCAATGCTTCCCTCTGGCAGGTTAAGGAGGGCCGCTCGATCCAGCTGGCGGAAAGCCATGCGGAGCCCAGTGTCTTTGGTAAGCAATGTGCGATTCTTCATAGAGCCTTCACTTCATGCCCTTCCCCGTAGACTATGTCTTCGACGAGGGAGCCGGCAACCAGGAGGTGTTTGACCGGATGGCCCAGCACATCGTTCGCGCCTGCATGCAGGGCTTCAACGGAACTATTTTTGCCTACGGCCAGACGTCGTCGGGTGAGTATTTATATTCTCTTTCTTTCTCTCCTGCTTACTGAAGCTGATCGACGCTCTCCGCAGGGAAAACCTACACCATGATGGGCGATTGCCAGAACCCCGGTGTAATGGTGCTGGCCGCCAAGGAGATTTTCCAGCATATAGCCAACGACACGGAGCGTGACTTCCTGCTGCGCGTGGGATACATCGAGATCTACAACGAGAAGATCTACGACCTGCTCAATAAGAAGAACCAGGACCTCAAGATCCACGAGGCTGGCAACGGGATCGTGAACGTGAACTGTGAGGAGTTAATAATAACCAGCGAGGATGACCTCTTGCGCCTCCTATCCTCAGGAAACAAGGAGCGCACCGTGGGCGAAACTAACATGAACGAGCGCTCCAGTCGGTCGCACGCCATCTTCCGGATAGTGAGTTGCTCTGAAAACTGATCCCATTTTTTCAATACTATAATCTTAATTACCTCACAGATCATCGAGTCCAGGAAGTCCGACCGTACAGACGACGAAGCTGTGATCCAGAGCGTTCTTAATCTGGTGGACCTGGCCGGATCCGAGCGCGCCGGCCAGACCGGCGCCACTGGGGCGCGACTCAAGGAGGGCGCCCATATCAACAAGAGCCTGATGTTCCTTAGCAACGTGATTAAGAACCTCTCGGAGAATGTGGACAACAAGTTCATTAGTTTCCGGGACTCCAAACTCACTCGCATCCTGCAGGCGTCGCTGGGAGGGAATGCCTTCACCTCCATCATCTGCACCATCAAACCCTCGATCATGGAGGAGTCTCAATCGACGCTAAGTTTCGCCATGCGCGCCAAGAAGATCCGTATCAAGCCGCAGCTTAACGAGATGGTGTCCGACGCTACGATGATGAAGCGGCTGGAACGTGAGATCAAGACGCTCAAGAGTCAGCTCGCTGAGGAGAAGCGGAAGAAGGAGAGTCAGCTGATGGTGCAGGATCTGGAGCGGCGACTGAAGACTGACGAACTCAAGATCATCTCAAGCACTTCGCTGAATGATCAGCGCCAGCAGAAACGCCGACGCACCTGGTGCCCGGCTCCTACCGGCCCGGACGCCTCTCTAACCTCGCTGACCGGCATCCTCAATGACTCTCGTCTGATGCGGCCATCGAATCTATCCAATCTCCCAAAGCCGACATTTTTCGCTACTTCTAATGCTGCATATCGAGGTAAAACCGCGCCAAAGACCATTAACATCCTCAGTTCCCTGGACATCACCACCGATGAGGAGACAAACGAAGAATTCGTCCCAGCTGAGTGCGTCAAGTTCGATACGCCGCCACAATTGTGGGCTCAAAAGGCCATGTTGAAGAGCCGAAAGGTGCCCAATTTGTCCTTGACACCTGTTCCCAATCCGATGGAGCCCGAAACGTAAGTACTTCTCGGCTAGTTTTATCAACTCTCTGAGCATCCCTCATCGCACATATCACACCTCTGTTCACGTAATCCCTTCCCCGCCTTCATCTGCATGCGCAGAGTGGAAAAGATTAAGAAAGAGATTGACGAGCTGCAAACGTTCACCAGTTTGGATAAACACTTTAATGTGGAGTGGGCAACAGCGCAGGAGAACCTGGAGAAGGTTACTGCTCAGCGGGATCAATTAGAAAAGGATTGCTTGACAAAAGACGAGCGGTGAGTTCAAGAGGCATTCGTTTTGTAATTCTCCCTAAGATCAAGGGAAAACAATATTACAGAGTATATATATTTTTGATCAGCATCAACAGCCTACTGTCCGTTTTTTCGTCCTTTAATCCGTTTCTATGCATACTAGTCCCTCTGTTTTTTGGATACCCAAATCCAAAGTTAGCTTCCTTGCTTGTTGTAAATTATTTTGTGTTGGAGTTAGTTAATTATTTAAAATTTTCAATTATTTCTGAGTCCATAAACATTGCACACCCAATCATCATAAGCATCATAAACACAAAATTGCATCTTTCTTTGGTTGAGGCTTCACTTGAACTATTATCTTTATATTATCCTAGTTGCAAAGCCATGCAGGACGAGGTCACCAGACTGACGGTGGCCACTGAAGCTGCCAACTCCAAGATCGTCGAGTACGAGAAGGAACTGAAGGCTTTGAAACAGACCGTTGCCAAACTGGATTTGGAGAACCGCGAGGCAGTCAGCTTGGAATTCCAGTTCGAGGCTTACAAGAAGAAGGCCAGTTTGCGGGAGAAGGACTTGCTGTCGGCTCTCTCGGAGAAGGAGTTGGCCGTAGAAAATTTGCAGAGGAGCCTCGACGAACTATCCCGGGATATGGTGCACAACAGCAAAGAGGCTCTCATGCGCTCCATGTACCCCAATCTGGCCGACATCGAAGAGGCAACCCTGAATGAAAGCGACGTCAATGAAGACTCTAAGAAGGTTGATTGCGAGTGCGACAGGCTGCGATCTGAAATCGTCGCGACTCAAGCCAAGTTGGAGAAAATGCAAGCGGACTTCGATTTGGCTATAAGCGAGGCGTCCCACAAGAAGGAAGACTGTCAGCGCCTATCCGAGCAGATTTCCAAGGCCCAAGATGACTTCACGCTGCTGCAGGGCAGATACGAGGCTCAACAAGAGGTCATCCAAGCCATGCAGGCCGACTTCCAGGCAATTCAGCACAAGTACCACAAGCTGCAGGAAGAGTACGAGACTCTGGGACGCACTTCTCAGGCCTCTGAGGATCAGTGCCAGCAGCTGCATGCTGATAACTCAAGTCTACGGCTGGAGGTAGGAGCTCTAAAGAAGGAGCTTGTGGATGGGGGCCAAGAATTAAAAACCCATACCGACGAACTAAAGGCCAAGTTAGCCGAAATGACGTCCAACTTCAACGCGCTTCAAGAGGAGTACGACAGTCTTTCCAACCAGCTAATGGAATCCGTCCAGGAGAACGATGCTCTTCGGGAGGAGCTCAAGCAGCGTCCCCTTCCCAGTTACGACATGGAATCTATGAGGAGTTCTGGCGTTGACTCCATGAAAAGTTCTGGCGTGGAAACTGAGCTCGGGGAACCAGAGCAGGAGGCAATCTCCCACAATTATATTGGTGAGAAGTTTGCCAAGCTATCAGAATCTATCCATCAGATCGAACTCAAGAGCCACTTGGGTTTTAGTCGCCTCTTTAGAGTTTCCAAGCCGGAGAAGGAGCTAGAAAATAACGTGAAAGCTCTTAAGCTTTGCCTCGAATCTGCCAAGTACATCGAAAGCGAGACTGCAGCCGACGGTATACCGCTCAAGGGCGTTGTAAAACAACAAATGTTCCAGCTTGTGGCCCTCAGTCAGGAGCAGCTTGAAGCCGGAGAAGAGCAGCGACTCCTCAATATCATAGCTCAGCTGGAACAGGAAGTTAGGGACAAAAACGAGCTGATGGAGGCCACAGAGGCAACCATAAATGAGATGCGGGAGCAAATGACCAACTTGGAGTCTGAGCTCCTGGAGAAGAGTGTGATTGTTAATAAGGTAGAGGACTACCAGCGCCAGATTGAGACCCTGGAGAAGCAAAATGCGGAGATGACCATGGTGTACGAGGAGCTGCAGGATAAAGTTCAGAGGAACAGCTCTATGAGCGAGAGTACGCTGCATCTTCTGCCTGTTGATGAAACCATCTCAGCTCCCCATGAATCATGCGCCTCTGAAATGACACCGCTCTCAGAGTTGCAAACTAAAGTGGTCGAGTTGCAGGCAGAAATGGAGAATCTGGTGCGGCAGATGCAGCTCAAGGACACGAACATCGCCGATCTAAAAGCCGAAATTGAGGAAATTCGCGAGCGCTGTTTATCTTCGGAGGTAAAGCTGGTGGAGGTGGAGAACGATGCCCGGGAGAAGCAGCAGCTGCTGGACCGCCAGGCTCGGAAACTTTCCGATGACGCTCTGCTTATCGACCAGCTCCAGGAAAAGAATGCAAAGCTTCAAGAGCGCATCATCAAGGAGGAACTTCAAGCTAAGCAGGATCACACAATTCCTTCCTCTGAATACGAACAACAAATAAAGGAGCTCAGGGAGTCATTGAGCAGGGTCCAGGATGAGCTTATTAAAATGGAAAAGCTAAAGACCGATGAGATTAATGCCCTGCAACTGGAGTATATGATGAAAATGGAAAGAAGCGAGGACGAGAACCGTGCGAAATTCCGCGGATACACCCAGGAATTGGGGGAGAGCAGGGATAGACACGAAAATGATATGGCAAAGTTGAGGGAACAGATTTTGCAGGCCGAAGAAGAGCTCTCTAGGCTGAAGAATAGCTGCCAGGCTGAGCTAGAGGAGAGAGTTACTCTCCAGGAAAAGCTTAGCCAAATGGAAGAGGAAAAGCGAAAGGTGACTGTCCAGTACGAAGAGAAACTTGAGGCCTCCAGAAAGAACCTGCAGGAAAAGATAGCTGAAGCTGAGTCAAAGGCTGCACTGCTCCAAGCTGAGCTCAAGGTGACCACAGACACCCTTAATGAAAAGCTAGCTGAAGTCGAAGCCAAACAGGCCTATATCAATGATATAACGTTTCAAAGGCACTCAAAAGAAGCCACAATTGCGGAACAGAAATCGGCTTTGGATAAGCTAAGGATGGAAAATCAAAAACTACTCGAGCAGCTGCAGATGCTGCCAAACGACCACGAGCAGCACAGCGAACAGCTTGCCTCCACCAACATCAAGATAAAAGAGCTCACAGCCAAGTGTGACCAACACGTTTTGGATTTGAATAACTTGAAGCAGGAAAAGGTTGACCTGCAGGCAGAGATCAATGAGCACTTGAGCACCAAAAATAGCCTCCAGAAACTCCAAATGGAAATGGAAGCTCAGAGCCAGAAACAGTTGAAGGCGGAGAGTGACTTTAAGGAACAGAGCACGGCTTTCGCAACCAAAATCAGTGAGCTCGAAGAGGCATTACAAAGTTCCCAACTGAAGGCGGTCTGCCATGACGATCTGGTTTCTAAGCACAATGAATTGATTACCTCCTCGAACGGAAAAATTCAGGAGCTCCAAGAAAAGTACGAGCAGCAATTACGTGACTTGGATACTTTAAGGCAGGAGAAGTCAATCCTGCTGGCCAAGATTGATGAAGCCGATGCACAGCACTCCAGCACCCTAAAGCAACTTCACGAACTTGAAATGCACAAGGAGGAAAGGAGTCAAAAATGGTCAACAGAGAAGATCGACTTAGAGGAGAAGCTGGAGACTATGAAAGCCAAGATCAGTGACCTTGAAACAGAACTACAAAGTGCTAGGCTAAAGGCTGCTAGCCTTGAGGAACTGAATTCGCAGCATCAAGACCTGAAGCTATCCCTTTCGGAGGCAACGGGAGTGTCCTCCACTCTGCAGGAGAAGGTGGACAGTCTACAGTCGCAACTTCTTGCTTCCGAAAAGGATATCTCCAGCAGAGATCTCGAAAAGGAAAGACTTCTCTCGGAACTGAAGCACGCCCTGGAGGCAAGAGATACTGTGAGCGCAGACCAATTAGCCCTGACAACGCAGCTGAAGGCAATGGAGGAAAAGATGGCCAGCCAGGAGGGAGATTTAAGAAAAGAGCTCGCAGATCTCAATAGTTCCATGAACGAGTTGCAGTTCAAACTAAAGTCCCTGGAAGAGCAAAAGATTGCACTGGAATCGGACAATGATGAGCTTAAGGTGAAGCTGAGGAATGCCCACAACCTTCAAGACCAGCTTGAAGAAGAGCAGAAGCTGTGCGCCTCCCTGCGAACCCAATTCGCTGAACTGGAGGAAACCAAAACTAGATTAGAGGAGGAATTGCGAATTAAAGAAGCAGAAACAAAGGCAAAATTCGTGGTGATGAGCCAGGAAGTGGAGCTTGGTCGACATTCCATCGAGCAACTGACCAAGGAGTGTGATAAACTACGTAGCGATCTGGTAAACTAAGCAAAATTTATTCCTCTTCAACTTAATGATTTTATTTATCTGTTTTCTTTTTTAGGAAACCAAAACGAATAGTTTCCATAAAGAAAATGAGCGCCTAAACTCGACTCTATCCTCTTTGTCAAAAGACAAACAGCTGCTGGAAGAGAGGATCAGCTCCTTGAGTCTAAATGATTCTCGTAATGCTGAGCTCATAGCAAAGCTAAGAGCCAAAGAGGATGAAGCCGAATCCTTGCGAGAAGCTTCAATTAGTCAAAAGCAAGCTGCTGATGCAGCCAACCTTAGATGCAGGCAATTCATGGAGCAGAAAGCGGAACTTACACAGGAGATTGAAAAGCTACGAACAACCTTGGTAATATTTTGTATAATCTTGTAACTTCCTGGAAATGAAATCTTTGTTTTTAGAAATCTAAGGAGGCCAGTGTGTTGATAGAGAGGGAGAGCATGAACGCGACTATTTCCAGTCTTCTCGAGGACAAGCGCAACCTCGAAGAGAAGCAGTGCACTCTTAACGATATTATCGTCAAACTGGAGGCTGAGCTCTCGACCTTACAAGCTCTTAGAAGCAACAGTTCCTTCGAGTCGAATACATCCACCGGCTCTGCGCCCAGGAAGAGTCTTGACCGCAATCCTCCTGCCAGTTTTTCAAAGGTTAGTTAACAATAATAATAAATAACATTCTTTCAAATTTTAATTAAACGCTTTCTTGTACAGAAATCGGCAGGCTATGAGTCCGAGATGCGGAAGACTCGCCGGCTCTCGGCCTATGACGAGCACCGGAGGCAGTCCTACTGGAACGACGTTAGGGATTGTGGCACCATGACAGACCCAGTGGGTGAGTACCCCGTTAAGAGAATAAATATTATTATATTTTCAATCAATTATTCCGTTCCAGACAACAATTGCAACTGCACGGAGCTGGATAGCAAGCTTCAGGCCTGCCAGCAGGAACTATTCATTCGTGAGAGCCAGGTTACTGCCTTAAGCCTTGAGCTGAAGCACCATCCTCTAAAGGACGAAAATGCGCAGCTAAAGAATCGGGTGCTGGAGGAGCAGGAGAAGGCTCGATCCGAGCAGAAGCGCCTCAAGATGAAGATTCAGGATCTCAATGCCAAAGTCAATGATCTCTCCAATGCGGTCAAGTCGCCTCCTACCCCAGTGCCAGAGCCCAAGCCGAGCTCAGTGCTTCCGTCCGCTTCGGCTCACACACAGACTGAATGTCAACTGGAGAAGAAGTATCAGGATGCTCTGGTTTTGCTACGCTCCCGCTACCATCTCATCAAGGATTTGGAAGAGAAGCTTAAACAGAATGAAAACACAGACACGTCCAATGTTTCATCCCTGACCAGTGGCCAAATAAATTCACTTAAGGTACGTTACAGTTTGTTCTTTTAATGACAAGAAATATTTAAATATGAAAAAATATATATTGCAGAAACAATGCGAAACGCTGAAAAAGGAACTGGCGTCTGTCAGGGAAAAGTATGACACGGCGAAGCGTGTATTGATGATGCGCAAGGATGAAATGGTCCAGATGCGCCTTCAACTAAATGCCTTCGAGTCAGCTGCTGCTGCTGCTCCGAAGTAGACAGTTTTCCTTCTCTTCAGGTGTATATATGTATCTTAATCGGTTGGCAACCAAGTCATATTACTATGTCTCTCTGACGCTAGTCGCTTTATGTGTTTGATAAGCCATTTATTTTGTACATTTCATATCATTTATGTATCCTACCTTTTTAAGTATTGTATCCGCCGCTGAAATGCACAAATCACAAATTGTTCTTCATAACGCGGCTTTATTGTAATGTCAATAAATATTTATAACTTTCTAAGCACATGTATGTCTACTTATATATTGCTTATGTAACGACTTTTAACTAATATATTTTAAGCTATCTTCCTAACCGAATTGCATTAGCCTTTGAATGCGTTCTAAGCCTAAGAAAATGCGAACTATTGCACTCCACCTACGAGAGAGCGACAAGGAAAACCGAAAAGTACATGAAACGGACTAAATGAAAAAGGTAAAAACACATTTTTTACTTCCTTTTTTAATTCTTAATTAATATGCTCGGTTCGGTGACTCGTGAATAAGAAAGAGTAGGTTCGAGTACTCGAGTTGAGTTTGTTCCATGTTCGGGACAATGATTGCAAACTTATAAATAAATTACACATTTAAATTGAGGTAGAAAATTACTAAAGTAACACATGTGTTGTTGCTGGTTATATAAGGCAAGTGGTAGCGACTCTTGTAGAGTCTGTCTCTGTGCTCGTCTTCGATTGAAGCTAACCATAAACCTAGGATAACTGAGGCTCAAACTAAATACATACAGGAAACGCTTAGAGTTACATCTATCTATGTCTTGCTTGCAGTGCTCTGCCACATAAACTAGCTAACCCTATTTTATAATATATATGTATGTATGAATGCTGAGTATGTTGAGGTATTCAATTCTCTCTCTTTTTTCTGACAAATAAGTAAAGGCATTCATCCATATGTATCCTTAAGTGTGTGCACTGTATACCGTATAGTATTATATATAAATAATCAATTTCTGTCATGCCGATCCTAAAACTACGGGCAGAGTTCTGCTCTTCAAAATTGGCAAGATTCCTGGAGATGTGGATAATAACAGGACCAGTCACAACTCGTGGAAGTATCGGGGTAAGTTTCAGGGCTGTCGCTGGCTGAGGTAGTTCGGTCAAGTGGCTGGTTCGGTTTTTTGTGTTTCCCCTGAGATATGGTAAGCACTTTGAATCGATCGACGGAGTGGCAAGACTTGGAACTGGAAGGCTGTGGCATCCATGGCACATCTGAATTATCTGCTGTCGTCTCGTTTGGTACAATACTAACATACGTAAGTGTTAAATGCGACGGATCGTTTTGGGAACTGCTACTGCTTCTGGTCTAACATCGATATATCGTTAAATGTATTTACAGGCTTCGCTTTCAATGTGAAATCTAACTTACGACTCTACATAGTATCCATAATATTATTATACGTTTCTTTCTCATGCGGGATGGGTTCTGTCGCTCTTGCCGGTACTTTATCTTCTTCCTCCTCACGGCGACTGGTATACACAGCAGGTACTTGTGTATATATAAATGTATATATATCGGTATAGGTTGGTAGTTTAAAAGCACAACATAGAATTCTACTAGGCCAGCTCTGACAGCGGCACGAATATATGGTTTTAGTCTTATTCTAGTACACTATCGTATTGTATCGTATCGTACACATAAACTGGTATACATGAGGATAAGGCTACTCGTTACATATGTTCCATGGGTAATCGGTATACAACTGTTTGTGCTCGTATTCATATTCATCGTGGTCATATTCATTGTTCTCTCCCTCATCGCTCCTCCTATGTGTTGTGCACTCCCTCGTCCTCCGAGTAATTGTCCTCGGCATCGGAGTTGGCCACCTCATGGTTGCTGCCCGACTGGTTGTTGTCCAGGCCCAGGTCCATCGGCTCCGATCCGTCGCGTCTCATCTCGCCCTCGTGATCCGCCGCCTCCTCGTGCCCCTGCATCCGTCCGGCCGAGTTGAGGGCCAGCGGTCCGTGGCCGTGCGGCGAGAGGCTACCTGGGCCCTGGTCGTGCCGCATTATCGGCTCTATGGTCAGCCCGGGTCCGCTCTGACCGAAGGCTGGATTCCCGGCGGCTAGCTTGCTCAGATCAAACTGTCCGGGCAGCAAACCAGGCGGCAGGCTGTCCAGGCTGTGTCCCATCGCATTCAGTTGGGCCATCTTGGCGCGCAAAGCGGCGGCGGCTGCCTGCTCCTGGGACATGCCCATCCCTAAAATTAAGAAGGGATAACGTCAATAATTAGCATGATGTATTAAAAATTATAAAATATATATTAAATTATAAAAATAATTAAAGAAAGTTGGTTTACTTTCTCGTAAGAAACCCAAAACTGAAGTCTTGAATACTCACCGAATGTATTCTCCGTGATGAACTGCAGATAGGTGTCCAGCAGGGACTGACCGGCAGCATTGCTCGTGGGTAGCTGCACACCCAAATCCTTGGGCTGGCCTAGAGCAGCCGCCGTGGCCGCCGCTGCAGCCGCCTCGTTTCGCATCCTGGCATGACCGAAATTGCTCAGCAGACTCTCGTGATAGCGGCTGAGGTCGCTGCTGCTGCCCATCCCGTACAGACCGTTGCCGGTGGTGAGGTCCTCGGGATCCTCGTCCGAATCCTCGGCATCGTCCAGCGGTCCGCCGCTGGCATTGCTCAAATCCAACTTGGCCTGGCCACTGCCGCCGCCACCACCACCGCCGCTGCTGCCACTGCCGCCGGTGGGTGATGCCCTGGCCCTCAGCTCGGCCGGGGAGATCTTTACGCCCGCCTTGGCCAGCAGGCGGGAGGCGAGCTCGGGATCAAAGGCACTGGGCATGGGCAGCACGGGCAGGTCCTTGGTGGAGATACCGCGGTGCTGGCGCGACATGTGCGAGTGCAAGGAGTTGCGGGACTTGGCCACCGTGCCGCAGAGGACGCACCGATAGCCGGGGCAGACGGTGTGCTTGTCCTCCAAGTGGGTGCGGAGTGTGTGGGCCGAGCGGTAGATCTTGCCGCACTTGGGGCAGGGCCGGGGATCGGTGGCACGTACCCTCATCTCCAGGGAGCGACGGGAAACTGTAAGATAGAAAAAGAGATTCATCAGCTTGGGTTGGATTGCAATGCGGGCCGAGATGGACCAATGAAAAGCCAGCTAAAGTCTTCGTTTGCTCTTTATTGTTCTCCAAAATAGATTTGCCGCCTCCGAACGAACACACATTCCACTAGGCAACGCAGATACAAGATACTCGTACTAGATACATTGGGTTTGCCCTCAAACAATTTTGCAAACTAAAATGGCATACAAACTGTGGCACTCTCTCGCGTGCACTTATGGCTGCTTGGTTTCTCTTTTAGGCATTTATAAACTACAATTGTAAAATTGTCCGCATCGAAATAGAATTTATGTTTAGTCGGGAATCGTATCTCGATCGAACTCTCATTCTTATGTTTTTTTTTTAGCAATTTTTGCTGGAGTTTCGGTTTTTATTTTTAGTGTTTTTTGATTAACATTATAGGAACCTTTTTACGTATGTCTGCTCTTGGAGTGTTATGCCGCCAATTGAATCAAATTACAGTTTAGTTAACACAAGTTAAATCAACAGAATATCTCCTCGATTTTTGAACATTTCTCTAATACAAATCGATTTTAGTTTTATGCTCGCATTTCCTTTCAATGCTCAACTTTTTAGTTTAATTCTGTTTCTGTTTTTATTTGTAATTATTTTTCCTTTTTTTTTTTTTTTTTTTTGTTTTTGGTTTTGGCTAAAAATATATTACGCAGGCACATTCTATTTTGTTTCAGTATCAATATTCATAATAGCTACTTTATATACTTCTATATATAATGTTTCTTTGTTTGCTCGTTTTCAGCTCATTATCTACATATTTATCTCACCCTCTATGGCTTAATCGTACGTATTTTGCTTATGTAACTCTACGAATTAATATTATTATAGTTCTTGTGTGTAATTCTTTGGGTTTCTTTGCTGTTTATTTTAATACTGCACATGCTTTGCTGGAGCCGAGTCTCCTACACAGCTTTTTCCTATCTCTCTCTCTCCCAGCTAACGTAAAGGAATTTTAAGTTTGAGATTTGTTATATAGTTTATCGCATATAGGAACGTAATAATTGTTGCAAGTATCCTAGCCCAAAGCGTTCATCTAGCGCCGCCAGTTCAGAAGCCTTTAGGAAGATTCTATTCTGTTTCTCAGCTACTTTTATTTTACTAAATCTCAGATAGACTGCAAATATCTAATGAATAATGAATTTCGTGTAAATGAGCAAGAAACGAATATTTTGTAGATGAATACAAAAACTGAACTCTCAATTAATATGAAAGGAAATAGGCTTTTATGACTGGATAAATCTTCTGCAAATGAACACCTTAAATGACCAACGAAATGATCTGAAACTACAAGCACAAAATGAACTCTCTATTAATCCCAGTAACTATATCCATATCAATACCATGTCCTTCCAAATCATAAACTCTAAATAACTCTCTCTCAGTGACTGAAACCTTTTCATAATCAGGAAATAATTATGTTAAAAGCCTTTGTTGACTGACTGGCGGGCAGGAAGCGTTTGCAGTAGTTGGCTTACAGACAAGGACCTCTCTCGTGCGCTTACAGTTACAGTTAGTTATAGTGGACTCCGACTCCGACTTGGACTTGGACTACTTTTGGCTATCTACGATAGATGCGAGTGTCTCGAGACATGGTGTGTGTTTTTTTTTCGGCTCGATTGCGAGTTACATTCGATTTATTGTCGCCATTGACTGACTGAGAAGCAGCAACCTAGAAAGCTTTTAGCGGGACTACCCGGAGTGGCATTGGCTCGCAGCCTCGCAGTTTCATTTGAAGTCGGGACCGCCGGCAAAGGGACCTCCCGAGGACCGCATGGCCTTCATTTTGGCCCACTGCAGCGTGTGCTTGATCCGCATGTGGTTCCGCACGGAGTTGGGATGTGCGAACCGGCGCCCACACTCGATCACTGGACAAACGGGACTGTCGCGCGGATAGTGGCGGTCCAAGTGCTGCCGGAAGACACGCTGCTCCAGTGGCGTCTCGCACAGCGGGCAGGGCAGCATGTAGTTGCTGCTTCCGGCTCCGACCGCAGCTCCACTTCCGTTTCCGCCGGCTCCTCCGGGAGTAGCGCCACCGGGTCCCGGTCCGGGCCCGGGTCCTGCCACCTGTCCACTGCCATTATTCCCGGGACTGACGGATGCCCCTGTGGCATTTGCAGCCGCCGCTGCAATGGTGTTTTGAAAGAGCTCCGGAAAATCCCGAGACCGGCTCAATGCAATGGTCCTGGCCATGAACAGATTGGCTGTCAACTGTTGCTGGTGCGACACGGACACCGACTGCTGCAGTTCGTCCAGATATTGCTGCTGCTGCTGGTGCTGCTGGTGTTGCTGTTGGTGCTGCTGCTGGTGCTGCTCCTGCTTCATGAGCAGCGTCTGGTAGAGCGTGGACTCGCTGTCCTGGCGCGTTCTCTTCATGGTCAGCGATATTGCCGAGGAGGCCGACGAGGAGCGGTCGTCATCCTGCTGATTATTGTGTCCCCCACTGCCGCCACCGCCGCCACTGCAGTCCATCTCCTGCTCCTCTTCGCTGTCGTTCCAGGAACGTGCCGAGGGTGTTGGCGAGGAGTTGGCCGATCGATTCTTCTTGCTGTTATTATTGTTGTTATTATTGTTGTTGTTGTTGTTGTGGTTGATGCGATGCTGATGGTGGGGATGATGGTGCTGGTGGCCAGGATGCGGCTGGTGGTGATGGTGCGGCTGATGGTGGCTGCGGCGCTGCTCCAGCAATTGGCGTTGTTGCTGGTGTTGCTGCTGCATCAGCTTGGCCAGCTTGCTGGCCGAAGGACGCCGGTCCGCGGCATGGGCCTCGTGCGGCTGACTCTGCCGCTGGCGCTGATCCTCCTCCACCGCCTCCGGCTCGATGACCTCCTGCTTGATGCCGCTCTTGGCGCTCAGGAATGTGCCTGTGCATTCCAAGCGTTTCGTATAGCGAGGATAGAACGGGGAAGTCAATGGAAAATCGAGAATCAGAGGCTAAAAAAATCATTTCTATTTTGGTTCATTCAGCAGCTTCAATTTTGATGTGAAGTGTTCTATTTTTTTTCAGTGTGTGTGCTTTAATTTTTGAATTCCTTTGTAAGCAGCAGCAACAACAACAACCAGAGCAGAATTTTAGGGATTTTTTAAAAATAGTTTATGTTTATTGCCAATTTTTTTCGTTTATTTTTGGGGGTTTGTTGCTTTAACTACTCCTTGAATCGAAAGTACACACACACAAGATATCCGGAGATTTATAGCCAATTTTTGGTAACATTTTCGTGGTTTGCCAATTTCACATACATACTTATATCAAAAATATATAATAATTTTAAGACTACAGCTAGTTCTTCTACATAAATTGCTCTTAAATGTAACAGGCAGGCAGGCAAAATAAAAATATATGATCAAATTAAATTACAAGAAGTGCAGGCAATATGGAAAACTAAAAATATTTAAATATTATATACAATAGTTTACCCCGGAAATGCAGTGAAACTCACTAAAATTTTAGGGTTATCTAGGAAATAAATAAAGTAATACTGATTTGACCACTAAAGATCTCAAGACAGCATAAACTAGCAACAAACAAAATTTTAATAAATATTCTAGCATTTTTTTTATTAATATTTCTTCCTTGACATCGAACTCCTTTCTTGAATAATGGTTTAGGCTTTCGTTCTAAACACTCCTGAAACTGCAAGACGCACCGTATCGAGTGGCTTATAGAAAATCGAGGTGGGAGGTTGGAGGTAGGACGGTTCGGGGGAGAGATTCAGTTAGGAAAGGGTGAAGAGCCATATCGCGTGTTATGGAACCATTGTCAGATTGGACAGGCGTACGACTCTATATGCGAACTGCGATTGTGCATATACAACGTGTATATATATAGCCCATATCCGATCCTAGTGGCGTGCAGGAACACACCTGGCCCCGTACCCAAAACCGAAACAGACATTATATCTTTTGCATTCCGCCCGCTCCCATTTGCAGCGCCATTTCCATTTCCACAGCCACTTTCCAGCTCGGGGTTTCGTTTCAATATTCGATAATACTAAATATTGAAAAATAAAACGCAATTTAATGTCTATGAAATTGCCAAGGCCCATTCCCAATATTGAGTCATTTCTGGGATGGCCAGGGATTGGACCTAGTAGTGGGTGCAGGAGGTCATGACGCAAGGCGACCCCAACAAAAAAAAAAAAAAAGCTGAAATCAAATTAAACAATTTAGTTCTTCCTTTGTGCGTGACAACTCAAGGGAGAAGGCAAACAATCCGACTGCATGAATATATCAAGAGAAAAATAAAATAAAATCCAATCGAATAAAATGCAGAAATACAATATGCAATATGCAGTGCGACCTATAGCCGGCTCTGTCTGGCGAATGAGCTTGGCATGTGCTTAGATGCACATGAAACATGCATGGCCGCATCGCAGTTTTCTTCAGTGAGCATCCCGATTGGCCAAGTGCAGCCAGGACGTTCGAGGAGGAGGATGGGCCAGAGCCAGGACCCGGCTGCCGATCGCCTTTGACCAGCCAAGCAGATTACGAATTTGTCACATTTGAGGAGACCGAGCGAAGCGAGAGTGTGTGTGTGCGAGTGACAGGCACAAGAACAGAAGCCCAGGAGAGCCCAACGAGGACATTGTGTGTGGCCCCGTATCAATTCAGGCATAAGATTTACACATCCTTCCGCCTCCTCTCAGCTTGGCCAGGTGCATTTTTCGTAAAGGATGCGTTTTGGATAGGAATTAACTCCTCCGAAAAAGGACCCTTCTGTGTGCGTTGGTCTGTGCGTAATTTCACAGGCTCTTTCTCTTTTTATTTATGGCCAACCCTGTGGCTGTGCATAATTAATTAAATATAAAATGCAAAAATCCAATTTTTGCATCCCAAATGTCTATTTTTGTAATAAAAAGAATAGAAGAAGAAAACAAAGAGCTGACAAAGACTATGAGTAAAGCTTACACAACCAAAGGAATATTAAAAGTGGTAAAGAATTAAATTGAC